GTCAGGCAGGTGGGAGGGGGGAGGAGGGGATGGGTATATACAACCATGAGTAAGATGGAGGATGGACACGCTTGAAGCTCTTACTTGAGGGTGAGGGGGGCATGGGCAATATATGTAACCTTAACACTTGTACCCCCATAATATGCTAAAATAAAAAAAATAAAAATAAATAAAAAGTATTGTTAAGAAAATGAAAAGACAAGCCACACACTGGGACTATATCTTTACAAAGCATATATCTGATAAAAGACTTGCATCCAGAAAAGATAAAAAAAATCACAGAACTCAATAATAAGAGAACAGAAAACCCAATTAAAAATGGACAAAATATCTGGATGTATGATCAAACAAGATATTTGGATGGCAAATAAGCACATGAAAAGATGCTCAACATTATTAGTCATTAGGATATAATAAACTAAAACCACAGAGAGATACTGCAACACTCCTATTTAATAGCTGAAATTAAAAAGATTGATTGCACCTAGTATTAGTGTGGATGTAAAAGAAATGGAACTCTCATACACTGTTGGCGGGAATATGAAATGCTAAAAACACTTTGGAAAATAATTTGGCAGTTTTTTTTTTTTTTAAAGTATATACGTACCATCTGATCTAGCTATTTCTATGTATAGGCATTTACCAAGAAGAGGAAATATATATCCATATAAGATTCATACATGAGTGTTCATAGCAGCTTTACTTATAACAGCCCAAAACTGCAGATAACCTAGATGTCCATCCATATGTGAATGAATAAAGAAATTGTGGTATAATCTATACAACGAAATATTACTCAGCGACAAAAACAATAAACTATTGAGACACTGATGAATCTCAAAGAAAAGAAGAAAGAAGCCAAACAATAAAGTACATATTGTACGATTCCATTTATATAAGAGTCTAGAAAATGCAAACTAACCTACAGTGATAGAAAGCATGTAGTTGCTTGGAGTTGAAGGGGATACAGGCCACAGTGAGAGGGAGGTGTTATAGAGGAGCACAAGAAAACTTTTGGGGGCATAGATATATTCACTGTCTTGGCTGTGGTGATGGTTTCATGGGTGTACACATACGTCAAAAGTTATTAAATTATATGCTTTAGAGATGTGCAGTTTATTGTATGCCAATTGTACCTCAATGAAAATATATTTTATGCCTATTATATGTCAGATATTTTGCTAAGTGTTTTCAGGAAATATTCATTTGCTTCAGAAAGTACTGTGTGGTAGGGATAAAGCTGAATTTCACCAAAGAGTACTAAGTCTATGGAATAAGAATATATTCTGTAGAGAAGAAGGGCAGTGGAAGAGTGTAAGGAAATGGTGAATGGAACCAAAAGTGATTCCTAGAGTAGGGGAAAGGGGCAGGGTAGAAAAGAGGAAAAGATAACATGGCACATTATATTTTCCAGTAATGGGCACAACATTATTTCTTCTTACAACGTAAGAAGACACTCTGACACTCTTCCTATTGAGAGGTGGAGCCCATGTTCCCTCTTGTTCAATGTGGGGAGGCTTGTGACTGCCATCAAGGTAATGCAGTGTAACTTCTGAAGTCTTAAAGGTGATTCAGCTTCTGCCTGGGTTTCTTGCAATGTTAACTGTTAGAACTCTGCCCCCATGCTGTGAGGAAGCCCAAGCAGCCACTTAAAGAGTCTGGCAGATAATTGCTCCATGAGGGGTTCTTGCTGATAACCAGCATCCACCACCAGATGTGTGGGCGAGGGAACTTCTGGATAAGTTGAATCCCAGCCCATTAGTTGCCCCCAGCCTTTGAGTCTTCCCAGCTGAGGTCCCAGACATTGTGGAGCAGAGACAAAGTGTCATTGATGAACCATTTCTGAATTCCTTACCTGCAGAATCTATGAGCATAATAAAATGGTTATTATTTGACACCACTTTTTTATTTTTTAATTTTTTATGTAGCAATGGTAACTGAAACAAGTGATAGGAAAGAAGGCAAAGAAATGAAAATAATAATTTACAAAAACCTAGGATCTAGCCCTCCTGAAAAATTAGAAAAGATTATGTAGGTAGTTATACTAGTTTCTGAGGTGGCCACTCTCAGAGATGTGGTCTAAGGTTTTCTGGGATGAGAGGTAGAATCCTTGGCATCATGGGCACCAGGAAGGTGGCCACAGTGGCCAAAGCATTGGAGTGGCAGGAAACTCCCTTGTCATCAGCCATATGATCATGCTTACAAAACCAAGAATGTGGCCAAACAAATGAGGTAGGATTTGCCAGCTTCCTGTCCCAGGAAGAAAGATTTAAGAAAAATTGTGTTTTGAGTTGGTGTTATAGTTAATTACATAGGATATAAATTAATATTCATTTTTTTGCATAACATAAAACAAAAGAGACATATATAAGTCTCATTAGTGGGTCATTTTAAAAAGAGGACCCACTGGTCGGGTGTGGTAGCTTATGCCAGTAACTATAGCACTTGGGAGGCTGAGGCAGGAGGATTGCTTGAGGCCAGGAGTTTAAGACCAGCTTGAGCAACATAGACTCTGACTCGACAAAAATACAAAAATTAGCCAGGCATAGTGGTGTGTGCCTGTAGTCCTACCTGCTCAGGAGGCTGAGGCAGGAGGATCATATGAACCCAGGAGTTTGGGGTTACAGTGAGCTATGATCATGCCACTATACTCTAGTCTGGGCAATAGAATGAGACATTATCTCAAAAAAAAAATTTTTAAAAGAGGCCCCTTAGCCTAATTTTATCCACTTCCTATATTAGAAACTTGATCCTTAAGAATCAAGCAGAAGCTTTTCAAATCTAGGTATTTATTAATATATATAACAATATCGATGCTCATTATCCTTGCTATATAAAAAATTAAATTAAAAAATATATAATATTTTGAAAGTTCTTTAACTCTATTATGAAAATGAGAAATGGATTTAAAAGTAAGTTGATCTGCAATGAGAACTACTTGTAAAGTGTATCCTACGTTCATATAATCCCAGCATTATATGGATATACTATGAATTCTGACATCAAGGTCTAGCTCTGCATCACTAGTGAACTAGTGACAACCTTTGATCAATGTGCCTGTACTGATTCTGACTTGTTTGAATTCTGTTTTCAGGATTTATAGATTCTTTCTTGTGTAAACCACTTCATCTTTGCCTTCACTATCTGTCATATTTGGATGTTCTTTTTAGATTGATAATTTTTATCTTTGTTTGTGTTCCCATTCAGAATACAGTTTCAGACTGAGTCTTATCAATCGATTTCTATAGATGTTCCTGTTTCTCTCCAGCATGTAAATTATAGGCTAGATGATTTAGCTGTTAAAGTAGAAATGGCTCAATAATTTTAAAGTTCTCTGGTCTAACCTGATCACACTGTCTGTATAGTGGTGATGATGGTCCTCCCTCCCTCCCTCCCTCCCTCCCTCCCTCCCTCCCTTGCTTCCTTCCTTCCTTCCTTCCTTCCTTCCTTCCTTCCTTCCTTCCTTCCTTTCCCAGAGGGATCAGCATTTGTATTAAACTGTGGCAGTGGAAAAGGAAATTTCCTTTTTCCTACAATAGCTCATTTGGAGGGGAGGGGTCTCTTTTAACTGAGAGTACGAGCTAAAATGGATCTCTTATTTTGTGCTTCATTCACACTTCCTATATTACACCATTAAACATCCTTCCAGGGACCAGAAGATGTAGGAGATTCTGTTTAATCACTTCACGTGCAATATCATGGGGACCACATTTGCAGGATGTGGGGCATGATAACCCCCCGTGGTTAGGATAACAGCTGTTCCCAGTTGTAGCACAAGCAACACATAGTGAAATAGTCACAAAATTACCCTCAGGGCTTGTGGTAGAAAGGAAGCATGGTATAGAGGTTGATTTGCCTACATTCGTATAATTGGAATGTTGTAGAGCATAGTTTGGGCTCATGCTTTTTCTTTTGCTTTAAGTTTATTTATTTTTACATGACACCCTATTCTTAAACAGGAAGTGTGAAAGCTGCCTGCTTTTCATGGGAAGAAAGGGTTAGTATGCTTAAGATAGAAGATGAGCATTTGCTTGGCTGTTAGAGTACCATGTAATATGCACAAAAGCACATCTTGCTGGCTCCCAGACCCTTATCAGTTTTCTCATACATTTTTGTCAAACTGTCCTTGTTCCTGGAAAAAAAGATTCAAAACACCACTCTGCTGATGGGATGAGATACAATGCAAGTGGGCTGATAACCTAATCTTCGTATGTTCAAGAGTGAGCAACTATACCAGAGGTTCTCAAAATGTGGTCCCTGGATAAGCAGCATCAGCATTACCCACAAATGGGTTAGAAATGCCAATTGCCTCAGATTTATTGAATCAGAAATTCTGAGGGTGAAAGAGTTTAACAAATTATCCAGGTAATTCTGATACACATTAAAATTTGAGAACTGTTGCTATCATCAAGGCTCTTAGAAAACTATTTTGTTCACAATTTATCCTCAACTGTGAAGATAATTGTGTATAATAGTCTTTAGTAACAGAATGTCAAAGAAAGAGATCATGTAACCACCAAGCACTTATTAAGCACCTACTGTATGCAAACAACTATGTTAGCTACTGTAGGAAAAGGAAAGATGAATCAAATATGGTCTCAACCTTCTGTGAACTCACCTAGGGGTGATGAGTGGAACATAATTGATTTGCCAATAAAACATATAAGTAGCCCACTAGCCTGCCTCCTCGGTGGCTATGTGTAACACCCTCTCATAAAATGAAAAACATGGGCTAAATTTACCATTGTATCCTCGGTATTACCAAGCCATCATTTGCTCTTTTCCGAGGTGAGAGTATAAAGAGTGTTCTCTAAAAACTCAACAATTTGAACCATAATTTTCACTTGGTCAGTGAACTGAAATAGAAAAGTACAGCCTCACATTTCTTTGCTATTGCTTTTGACTTATGAATCAGCCCCAGCCCCAGGAATCTGAGGTTAGATCAGGATTACGAAGTCATCTACCTGCTCGGCCATTAAACAAATGTAGAATACACTTTCCCTTCTATTTAACTTTTATTAAAAGAAGTGCTAAGGTACTGAGATGCAGTACATCATATTTATTACCAAAATTATTAACAAATATACAAAACTTATACATGTAATTTTCTTACATCCATTTGTTCTCTATAATACTGATTTTTGTTCAAGTAGGTTATCTACAGTATGTAAACATCCCTTGGATTGACCTCACACAGATTAGGAAAGCCCTCTAACCCATGCTTTTATCAGATACTTCTTTTTATTTGGCTTTCGTTTGTAGCATCTAATCTCCACATTTGGCACATGGAAGAGACATCTACAGTGCAAAAGAGGCAGATTTTTCTGCTTTCATTCTGAACAATTTTTGTAGGGGCACAGTCAAAGAGCTGAGAGGAGAACACGAGCACTCTAACTTGGTGGTGCTGGATTAGCTGTGATGCCAGCAACTCTTGGTTCAGCCATTAAACTTGAGCACAAAGTCAATGTCTCTTCCTTCTCCCACCCTCCCACCCATCCCCCATGCAAGGCTGATTCAGTCTTAACCTTGTCTCAAAAGGGTTAAAAGAGCTTCTATCCATTCCAGGACAGGAAGGTTAATTTCAGAGAAGAACAATTTTTCTGTGTTCTTGTGTGGGTTGGTTTTTGCGGTTTGACGAGCCAGCAAAACTCTTAAATGGAGAATAAAATACAAGAAAAAAATGGATACCAAAGGAGCACTTTCTGCTTTCAGCTGCCACCTCTATATTCCAGACCAGAACCTTTTGTGGTGGCAAGGTGACACGGACCCTGGCAAATGACAAAGAAAAGACAAGCTTGCCTCCAAGCCTTTGAATATAATTCAGGAAAATTAAAAAGGAAAGAAAAGAAAGATAATTGGAGATTCTGCCCTCCTCTTCCTGGGTTTCCTTTTGATTATTTAACTTAATCTAACCAAGTAAAGCTGATCCAGAGAGAGCTCCGTCCGCCCCGCTCACTCCCATTCTCACTCTCCAGCACAGTATTGCTCTTGTGGTCGTCCGCACCTCGTCCGCGAAGCATCCGCGGGCGGAGAACGTCTGGATTTGGACGTGTGCCTGCCTCTCGGCTTCCGTCACCACAGGGGCGCGGGCCCCTCCGACGCCCCGTAGAGCTCGGCCAACTTCCGGAAGCGGGGCCCCCAGTCCGTGAGGAAGTCGAAGCTCTGCTCCGAGTCCGATGTGGCCGACTGCAGGGAGCTCAGCGACCCAGCTACAGAGCCGTCCCCCTCGAACATGTATGTCTGGAGGGAGTCGAAGGGCGGGGCCCACAGGTCCATGTCGGCCTCGTAGAGCTTGGCCAGCACGTAGCTGTGGACGGTGCTGTTCACGGCGCACGTCTGAGGCACGTAGCGGGAGAGGCTCTCAATCTCCGGCAGCATGTCCTGCCGCGTCTTGGGGGCGGCTCCTGCCTGCGCCTCCCTGGGGTTCCACATGGCCGCGATGTCGAAGGCCTCGGTGTCCTCCTCGCCGCCGCCTTCGTCGTCGTAGCGGACGATGTTCTCGTGGATGTTTTCCTCGTCATCGATGATGTAAGGTTGTTTCCGGTGCCGCCTCATGGACAAAATGAGCAGCACCAGCACTGCCGGAAACAAGAAGACAGGCTATTTAACCAACGAGACCTGGCTGTGTGCTGTGACTGAGTATTCTTGACTAACCACAGACACTCGAAGAGTTTACTGAGTGTTGAGCTTAGAGACAGCACTTGGGTATTTTAAACCTCAGAAAGTTCTAACTTACGTCCACCTGGTTCTCACTCTTTATGCTATGTCGGATTGAGAGCTTGTGGACCAGGGAAACCCTGTATTTTTTCAAGTGGTACAATTAGCAGTTGCATATAAAGCCTACATCAGCTTGGTGTTTTGAAATAGTGTGTATGTACACACCCAACACCCAATGTAAAATCTTATTAACAAAGCATAAAGCACTATGGTCTGCTGTGTAGTAAGGTAACCTAAGGACCAGATAATGTATTTCTTTATATGATAATTTCTTTATATCTTTATATGATAATGAATATACATTTCTCGTATTATAATGTGGAGATCTCATTATGTAAGGTGGAATTCTGCTTTCTTGTATTAGCATCTTAATAAGATTGTATTCTCTGTGTAATCACATATTAATGTGCATATAGACAAACATGCTAAGTATGAGCTAAAGTTTTAGTCTTTTTATACCTCCTCCCAAAGATAAGAGAACATTAATGACCCCTGGGGTCCAATAACCTCAGATTCCTCAGAAAAGCCTTTGCTTTAGAGAGGTGATTGTGGCTTTCTGGACCCAATGATGTTCATAGAAGAGAGAGGATAAGCAGTGACATTTTATATAATTCATCATGTTATCAGAGAAGCACCATACTGTTAGATGTGCCCTTGCAGGTTTGGATAAAATTTTATCCCAACAAATGCATTTTTTTTTTCCAGGATGTGTTCACTCAGGTTTAAAGGAGAGATAGAGATAATCCCATTGAGCTGTTTATCTCTGTGACTGAAAACGTTTTCCAGGAAGTGTGTTGAGGTTTTAGTTGTAGAACTGCTATTGATTTTTTTTTTCTGGTGTGCTTTGTTACAGCCAGTGAACAGTGACAGTTTGACAGCACTGCAAAATAAGACCCCAGTTTATCCAAGTGGAAAAAATGGAGTATAGTCATATGTGCAGTAAGAGATTACAGAGTGACTAATAAAACTTACAGTAATGATTTTTTAAAAAATTTGAACATCGATGTGTTTCGTAGATTGCAATTAATGATATTAATACCTAATATTTTCCTGAATGCCTTGTGTGACAAAATGCACACACAGGATCCATTGAGATACTCTTGTATATTTTCTGTATGTACAAAAATAAGAACGGACTCAAAAGACTGTGGGGATTTCAGAGAAAGAGACAAATAGAACGCTAAGGAAGTGAAGGCTTGAATTGGGTATCAAAGGCTGGAGTGCTGTTTGGATTGATGCAGGCTGGAGAAATGGGATTCTATGTGAACATGCTGTGTTTATGGGATTTAGTAAACAGTGACTAAACCCAAATATTTTTAAGACTATGCTAAGCAGTGGGGAAACAACATTGAATATGGCATGATTTCTGCTCTCATGAGCTTGCATTCTAAGGAGATTATAGATGCTGATGATTAATACAAATCAGACAGTGATAAGGGTTATCATAGGGTCACAAGTATTGTCGGGAGAGTACAGAGGCAAGGTTGGTGAATTCTGCTTGGCAGACTGAGAAGGGCTTCACACAGGTGACCTTGAAGAGGGATGGTATGTTGGAAGATGCTAGCAAGCAAAATTGGAAAAGTCTTTGAGTATCTGTTGGAGAGAATTCTGATAGTCATGGAGAATTAAGCAGTTTATATAGAACTAGTCCATCTCTTGAAAAATAAAAATTGACATGTCTTATTTTTTTAGGTAATCTGATTCAAATAACAATTATTGGATAATGCCTTGAAAATCAGCTTTTGGGAAAAATGGTCCTATTCAGCTGAAAGGTGTCCCTTTCAGCTGAATGACAGAGTCATTTCTAGGGATGTTTATTCTTTAGGTACCAGAGGCACAGTACATAAGGCTTATGATATTTGAGATATGAAAAAAACCCCACAAAGCCAAAATTAATGTGTTTATTTAATTGTCCATAAAATGTAGTATTTTGTTGACAACTACAACTGAAATCTTACAGTTTTATGGACTGTTTTTAATGTGGGATGTGCATTCTTAGAAATAAGAGTGCTTAAAACTGTGAGGCTGTTATGACAGCTCTGCTCAATTTAGCTCCTGAAAACTGTTTACTTATTCTGTACAATTCAAAAGATAAGACATCTTGAGTTTGGGAAGGATAAAATAAATTATCCCTTGCATGCCATTTCTCACTTGAGAGTCTCTTTGAGCCAGTCTTTTTAAATCAGGATTTACGTAATGATGGCTCTTTGTGGGCCAGGGTGAACTTACAGACATTTTCTAAAGATAGAAGTAAGGACAGCCAGTCTGGAAATTTCTCCTAGGAGCAAGTTTCTTCAAAGGCCTCTTGCAGGTCATCTTGTTCTGCACTCAAGGACTCCCAATGCCACCGTATGGACACTCGAGGAATTGCAGGAAAGTTGGAATTGTAGGGAGGTTTTGTCAATACAGTCATGGACCAGAAACCGTAGCAATTTTCTTTCTTCCGGGGATCCAAGGACTTAGAAAGGTTATTTATACTTTTTCTCCCTTCATATAAGACTGAAGTAAAACAACAAAATTAAACTACATGCTGTGTTTTAAAATGTGTTCTGAGATGCGTATTCCACAGCCGTAGCTAGAAAGTCAATCAAGTGCTGTCCTTTCACACAGTTAGGGATATTTTTCTTTATTCTGACCCAGACTCTTGGTGTAGAGGTGAACTTTGGATCAAGGGTATATGTGGCTATCAGCACATCGATTCTCATTTAAATCCCCGTTGATTTACTTTTTTTTCCTCATAGAAAGCTGGGATTTCTTTAAAATTGAATAATATTGCTATTTACTAAATCTGCTTTTCTCAAAGCAACATATATATGCTGTGCATTAATGTATAAGAAGAGTAGGGATATATGTACAGATACTTTCTTGGTTTCAGGAGTTGGTTTAGATGTTTTCTTGTTTTTGAATGTGGACTTAAAAAACAATCGCATGGATAGCCCTATGCACAAGGGAGCTGGGTGCCTGCCTTGCAGTGTGACTTGAGAAGAGGAAGGAAGGATCCCCTAATCCAGTAATGCTTTCCCACTAGCCTGTCATCACATCACACCTTTTTATATCACCAGCATAGGCAAACTGGCCCTGTTTTGTCACTGCCCTTTGTTAGATGTCTACAGTGTCTGGGAGGATGCTAATGCTTCTAAACAGCTTATTCCCCAGATCCATGTGGTTCATGCTATCACTTCCTTCAGATCTCTGCTCAGAGGTCTCTTTATCACTGAGGGATTTACCCTGACTAAGCTGTTTGAAATGGTACCTATCCCTGTCCCCTGTCCCCCATCCCCCGGGACACCTTGTCCCTCTTTCTTTCTCAGTATTACCACCTCCAAAATTGGGGGATGATCATTTAGAGGAAGAGCAGTGCTGCTGAGATGCAGGGGTGCCCAATGTATGGTCTGCCTGCATTTCAGTCCTGGCTCTGCCTCTGACATTTGGCCTTGGGTCTGTCACTTACCTCTCTGTGATTTAGCTACTCCTTATCTGAAATTAATGGGTTAGAGAGGTGATCATCTTATCCTGTCCAAAATTATAATTTGGTTCTGTAATGTCAAAATGAACTAGCTCATTTGAAATAAACTCATGAAGACTGGGAAATGTCTGTCTTATTAATCCCAGCCCTTAGCATGGAGCTCCTGCTCTTAGTAGATGATTGATAAACATATGTGCTTTGATATTGTCAGAGAGGCCTTGAAGGGAGGGACTATCTTCAATTTTTTCCCCCAGCTTCACTCTACTACTCTTTCAGTAAGCATAATTTGAAAAACACCAGTTTTGAATAGGTGTTATGATGGTAACTGATTATCTGAGTAAGCATTGCAGAACCCCACAGAACAGAAAGGAGCCCCTTACTCACCCAAGAGGACAAAGACGCAGGCCAGAATGGCAATGAGGGCACCCCGGCTCAAACTGACTGGGAGCATGTAGGCCTCAGGGCTGCAGGACATGACGCGGCCATCGTCGTCACAGCTACACACCTGGATGGTCAGCGTGCCTGTGCTGCTCAGCACTGGCTGCCCACTGTCTGCTATCAGGATGGGCAGGTAAAAGACACTCTGCTCCTGCTGCCGGAAGCCAGACCTCCTCGTTAGAATCCGGGCCGTGTTATCTGAAGAAGCAAGGGGTTCCAGGATTGAAAAAGGAAAGGTAAATTAATTTCTTGGATTGAGGAAAGCAAGGGGGCAGGGACAGCGTATAGGAAGGAGAAAGAAGGATAGTCAAACGTGCCCTGAAGGTGTTCAGCTACAGCTAAGGCATGTTTGCCTGGATCAGCATTTGGATTCAGAAACCAAGATTTTTGCTTGCTTTTAGGCAAAACCCTGAGGCCTAGGAGAGAAAGCTTTTTTTTGAGAGTCTGTCTTACCCTTTGTGACATAAAGTGCCCACGGTGAACTGTCAGACTTCAAATCTAACAAAAATGTCCCTGGGAAAGCTTGACAGAAATGAACAATCACTGGTGACTTGTGGTCCCTGTTTGTTCCTGCTCAGCAGCTTGCCAAGGCCCCAGTGCTGCTTTGTGCCTCCAGGAAGAGAACGCTGAGGAGCCCATGCGGCTGTGGCAGATTGCTTATTTTTGCCACTTTGGCTAGAATTCATGTCTTTTGCTATTTTCTTTTATGTCTCTGAAATGCAGTCACCAACTCCTCCTGTGCTTCCTCAAGAACCTGCTCATTTAGCAGAAGCTTATTTGAAATCCCCTAATCATATGACACACCCTGTTATTTCTCCCGGCTTAGTGGTCTAAGTTTAAGCAGTTAATGTGAACTTGGTGAAAATTTGTTCCTGATCAGCAATACTAGTTATTTTTTCTTCAGTTTTAAAGGGGATTAGCCAATTATTAGATGTGTTTCTACCAAGCTGGGATGTGTGTGTGTGTGTGTGCACATGTATATGTGCACGTGTATATTTATAAATATATTTGCCTACTGTCACGTTCTGGGAGTTTTAATTTTTTAACCTGTGTTTTCAAGTTTCCTGGAGTGGGTTTGAATTCTAAAGTAGGTACATATTTGCAAAGTGCAGACAATTTTCAGCAGAGGAAAAATTTGAGAAATGTGGTAGGACATATAAGAAATGACTCTCAAAGTGAATACCACCAACATGGAATAATGTCTGGATGTGTTTCATATTTCACAGGAAAGAGTCTAGAACTTCACAAAAAATTCTAAGAACCTAACCAAAGTAAACCTTATTAATGATCATCAATATTTCTGGTTCTCCTTCCCTTCTTGCACATAATAAAAGATTATACTTTCCTATCCTCTTGAATTTGGGCATGTCTTTGTGATTTGCTTTAGTTGATGAAATATGAGCAATAGTGATTTGTGTCACTTCTAGGCAGAAGCATGTCAGGAGCTGGCATATGATTCTCTGTTTTCTCTTGCCTTGCCGTGGCTGTGTGAGGTGGAGATCTAAGCAGCCCAGGACACTGCTACAGACGGTGGACAGCTGTCCTGGGGCACCTGGACATAGTGGGCATTATGTGAGCAGGAAATTAACTTTAGCTGCACTAAGCCACAGAGATTTTGGTGGTGGTGGTTCGTGTAGCATAACTTGGCCTATTCCGACTAATACATTATCCCTTAATTAACTTTTCCCTTTCCTTCTCCTCCTGCTTTTTATGGTAGCAGCTATAATTTATTGAGTGCTTGTGTGCGATGTACTTGCACTTTACATGCAGTATCTCATTTAATCTTCACCACAATTTGGTGAGATAGTAATAAACCTCACCCTTTTATAGTAAGACAACTAAGGCCTAGAGAGATTTTATAATTTGTTCCAAGTCACTAACCTAGTTAGTAGCAGAACCGGGATTTGAACTCTGGTTTCTCTGACTCCAAAACACACACTCCTTGGCCCTTTTTTCTTTAATTTTAAATAATAGATCAATAAACATATAAGGTGGGCCAAGCACAGTGTCTCATGCCTGTAATCCCAGCACTTTAGGAGGCCAACGTGGTAGGATCACTTGAGGCCAGGAGTTTGAGAACAGCCTGGGTGCCCTGTCTCTACTAAATAAATAAATAAATAAATAAATAAATAAATAGATAGCTGGGTATGGTGTCACATGCCTATAGTCCCAGTTACTTGGAAGGCTGAGGCAGGAGGATCACTTGAGTCCAAGAGTTCAGGGCTACAGTGAGTTATGATCATACCACTGCACTCTAGCATGGGTGGCAGAGCAAAATGATGTCTCAAAAAAAAAAAAAAAGAATTAAAACAATCAGAGCATCATGTTGCTGAGTCCATTTCTAGAAGGGGACCAACATATAGTAGTCATTTGGAAAATTTTTGTTGAATGTGATAAAGCTTTAGTAATCCATTTGGAATCAGTATTTGTTTTTAAGGTGACACCACTGTGTGTGTGTGGCTAAAACAGGGCCCAACTTCTAGTCCCAATCTTAGCACCTACTCTCTGATCTTGGGCCGTTTGCTTACTTTCCTCATCTATCCAATGGGACAGTGAGAATCACTGGGATCAGTAGCTTGCTTAAAAACTTGCAGAATTATTATAAATATTAAATAAAGCAAAGCATGGGAAAATGCTTCTGTAATGAGGTGTTATATACACACAATCTTGTTGTAATGTTTTGGGGCTACAAAGTACAAGAGGTTTTACTTGAGATAGTGCCCTGTTGTGTTCACAAAAGGACATATTTTGGGCATGGGGGCTGGGGCACCTGACAGTGGATCCGCCACATGAGATGCTGGTCAATTTTTCAGTGAGCTGCGGGAAAGGATGCTCGTGGCGTAAATTGTCACAAGGATGTGAAGAGTTCATGCTCTCTGTTGAAAATGTGCTGACTTCTCTTTTGAGAAGTCTTCCAGAAGACAAGTCATGTCTTTTTTTTGTTTGTCCTGTTCCAGTGGCCCATCTTTTTAAGGTATTGGTTCCATGAATTGGTGCCCAAAGTCATCTTTAAGAAATTTTCAACATTTTGCTGCATATTGTTTCTGTATTGATTCTGACAAATACCAAAGTGAAGGACTAGAGTGACAACTGAAAATTTAAAGAAACAATATAATGTGTTACTCCCTCCACCCACACAGTTTCTTTTGTAAAATCAATCCTGTGGCAGCTGAAACTACTTTTTGCAGGAAGGGTTTCCCTATGAAGCAGATAAATGAATAGTTCAAAACTTTGACCCAATAAAAATCTCAGACTACTTAATTATAGTATTTCTGTTTTTATAATTCATATTGCCATCACTTCTAGAATTATTATAGTGATTTTGTGATAACATTACAAAGGTTGAAGGGATGTCTTGGAAGAATTCTTTTCATGTAGAAAAAAACAGGTTTGAGATTCTCAAGTTTTATAGAAGAGGACTGTCATGTGGAATGGAATTAATACTTTTAATCTCAAATTATTGATGTTTCAGACTAAGACGAGGCATGCCTATATGTGACTTTTTGTTATCCTTTGTTTAGACTTTCGCAAAGTGGCAATGTTTTAGAATTGGAATAAAAATGAGGCTACTGCAGCCCTAAGAAGTGATGACCTCTTCAAGGTCAGATGGCTAGTTGGTAGCATCTAGTCAGATGGCTAGAATGGGCTTATTTGACAGATTTATTAATAACTGATTTTTTTGAATTGCTTTGACCTTTCTTTGAAGCAATCATCTGGCAAAAGAACAAAAGTCTCTCCGTTTCCCATCTGTGCTCAAAGAAGAGTGTGCTGGGTCTATAAACCCCTTAGCTGATCTGAATGGTTGTTGGGGAAGAGAGGTTTAGATTTTTGTTCCAGTAAAGCTGTAGTGGGGTGCACTTTCTGGAAAGGGAACCCCACATGAATGTGTCTCTCTAAGTCATTCTAAAGTAATAAAGTTGTTTCAATGCCAGAACTGCTGTATGTGCCTATATTTGCCCTTTGCTATGTCTATTACTTAGGCTTTGTCTCCCTTTTGTTCTGAGAGCTTTTCGCTGCTTCCCCTTTGATCCTTTCATAGAAATGTTCCTTCAGGTTTTTCTCTTTATCTAGGTTGCTTTCTGTCATCTTTCTCAGATTCTTCTCAGTGTTTCAGAACACATAAACAGGGCTGCTTTCTTTGGGAATGAATGAAGGCGTTTGCCTCTGCGCTTTGCAATGTGTCTGGCACAGAACATGTCCTCGGTAAACATCAGTTGAGTTACTGACTGAATGAAAGTTTTTAGATTCAGCAGAGGGCTATCTTTGGCTTTGATGTTCTGAAACAAAACTTTAAAAGATACTACAAATTAATGTCCTTCCTGGTATTAAAAAGCAGGTGGTCTTTGACACTGTTTGCATAGTACAGTAACCCAAAGTAGCCAGACTAAGCTGTAGAAAAGCAGAGATAGCCAACTGTCCACTTGATTACCTTGGTTGTCCCTTACAGTGAAGTTGGGGTTGTTAGCAGCCTCGGGGGCCAAGCTGTAGTAGAAATGCTGACCATTGCGTGGGTCGTCTTGGTCCACTGCACTCACTGTCTGGATCAGCTGAGGGAGGGACATGGAATTGGATGAGTTGGAGCCAAAGGAGAAAGCTTTAGGGCCCAGTGAAATCCAAAACTCAGAAATCCAGTGGTGGGTTGTTTTACATAATTAGAAGGACATCATGGAACTTACCTGGAAAGTCTCCATACTGTCACACAGCTTAGGGTTTTCATTTGGTTTATTATTGGGCCTGAGTATATTAATAGGCATAGTGTAAATGCTACCTAAATACTTGAGATGTTAGGCATCAATATAGCTTCTATTTCTGCTCCACAGCCAGCCATTTTTAGGTAGTTTAAATAGGAAACTTTGAGTTAAAGGACTGGAGTGCCACAAGGTCCTGCATGACCCCCAATTTTCCTCCTCTCACCCCATCTGCTTTACCTCATCATTGGGTGAATGTTTCAGGGTTAAATTGCTGTCTTTGAGAAGCACCTATTTAAGAATGAACACTACCTAGAAGGGAAGTAAGCAGACATCAGCATTAGCTCTGTCAGGTTAAGGAAAAACATGCAAGGGAGTGGGTCACAGGCAGCCATGTATTGTTGGCAGGAGGAAGAGCTAGAAAAGGCGTAGAGCACAAGACCCCAGGTGGGATGTATGGAAGAGCCTAGAGTCAGAAGCAAAGCTGGGCGCTGGGCAGAGCAGGAGGTGGGGTGGCTTCCTCTTGAGCTCTTTGGGCACGTTTTGCCTTATGCACAGTGCTTTTCAAAGGAGTAAGTTGCATGAAGGTTGTGGAGACCATGGTGGAAAAGCAATTAAAGAAAGCAATGTGAAACAGACGGCTGGAACAGGAGCAGGCAGGCTAGGGGGGTATAGAAAAGGTGTTGAATGGTTGTCTCCTTCCTATGTGTTTGCTCCTCTATCAACGGACAGCACCAACTACCCCTACCCTTCTCAGGCTCAGCCCTGTAGACTTGCCACTCCTGCTGTTAAAAACCAGCTATGCTCCTGCCACCTTAGAAACCAGCACATCAAAGGTCAGCTTGAGGGCCCAGAGGGACTTGCTTAGCCTGTGTTTCTTCATCTGTACATTAAGGGAGGTAACGCAACCCTCACAATATGCTGAAGATTAGCAGAGGGGATGCTCCCAGCAAGAGTCCTTCTGGACACCATGTTGCTCAGATCCCTCTTCAATGAGGGACTTGTTGCCTTGGCCTTCACCTCCCAGTCTCTTCAGGGATTACCAGTTGCAGAGAGCCTCCTTACCCACGATCACCCCATCCTCCAGGACAACCCACCTCCAGTGGCTGATTGATGTGATAATACACAGGCCTGGCCATCCCATCTCAGCTTGGAAAAACTCTAGTTCTAGACTCTCTGTGAAGGTAGCCTGGGCAGTTTGTGGGTCTGCACTGCAGCTGGACTTCTCCTTTTGCCCAGTCCTGCCCAGTCGTTCCTTCCCTCCCACAGGTGTTGGCCCTATAGGCCCTCCTTAATAAACACTTTCTTTGCTAGAACTCCATCACAATATATGCCTCCTGGAGAACCCGACTGTTAAACCTAAACGTAGGGACAATGGAGTTGCAAGAAAGGCAAGTAGGCTGGGTGAGGTGGCTCATGCCTGTAATCCCAGCACTTTGGGAGGCTGGGGATCATATGAGGCTAGGAGTTTGAGACCAGCCTGGACAACATAGTGAGACCCTGTTTCTACGAAAAATTAAAAAAAATTAGCCATGTGTGGTGGCATGCACCTGTAGTCCCAGCTACTTGGGAGGCTGGGGCAGGAGGATTGCTTGAGCCAAGGAGTTCAAGGTTGCAGTGAGCTGCTATGCTCATACTATTGCACTCAGGCCTGGGCAACAGAGTGAGACTCTGTCTCAAAAAGAAAAGAGAAAGCAAGGGGCCAGGTGAGTAGAGTAGTGGAGATAAACTTGCCCACGGCCCCCAGTCTCGCACCAGTGCTGCTCACACACTAGGATCACCTGCCTGCCCCATCCCCACATGGAGACAAAGCCTGCACTTTTCTGCTAGCTTGTAGTGCCAAACGTTATAGATAGAGATAACATATTTCTTGAGGAATGTTATAAGTGGGTGATTCTTTATAACTTGGCAAACATAGATGGGAAAATCATTTTAGAACACCTGACCTGTAAATTGTGTATATATTGGCGAGATTGGGGCCAGAGGCGCGGGGCTGGTTGGTTACGGGCTTTCAGAGAATGAATGAGTGAAGACACTGATCTCTAGGTCTGGGCTGGGAGCAACCTGGCCGGCTCTCCTGCTCTCTCTTCCCCAGGCAGGTCAAATTGCTTCCTCAGCCCCACTTGTCATGCAATATTCTGCTCAGCTGGTTTCATTCTGCCCTTGGCCATCACCAAGCGTGTCATCTGATTTCTTTATGGGCTTCCTTCATAGCTGCTCCCTAAGAGAAAAGCATGCATCTGGACTTGGCAGACATGAAGCTGACAACAGTGTTCAGCAAGTAAACACAAGGAGGCCTGATTCTTCATAAACCAGACATACCTCCTGACCTGCATACTTCTGAAAGTCTTCAAAACATTTCCCAGAGCCCAAATCAAAGGGTAGGATTTTCAGTATCTTGGGGTATAGGTGACAGGTGTGACAGACTTGTGGCTCATTCCCTGAACTTGAAGTCATAGGTAAGCTGTATTTCAAAACACTGTATAATAGACCATTAAAAGATGTATTTAGAAATGAGGGATATGTTTGTTTGACTTTGGAAATAGGAGAGGTGGTTAAAAGGCCATGACCTATCAGAATGCACCCTCTATTCTGAAGGCCTTCAAGAAAGGGAGTGTTTTGTTTTTGGGGGAGGGGGTCTAATTTACTGTCCTACTTATCACTCTCTTTATATTATAGGTTAAAATTAGTCTGTTTTGTCATAACATAAATATTAATTATAAACAATATTTTATAGAATTTTATTATAGATTAAATATATTCTAATATATTTAGAATAATATATTTAATTATAGATTAAATATATTATTATAATATATTTATAGAATAAATTTTATTCTATATAATCTATATAAATTGTCATATTATAATAAAAAACAAAAATTAATAAAATAAAAGCCCAGACCCCCTCACTTAAAACTCAACTACCTTAGCACAGTAGCTATACTATTTTTGCCTTTTCCTTCCTAATCTTTGTTCACATGCAGACATAATCTTACATAACTGCAAGCATATATATGTAGTTTTTATATCTCCTTATAATAACATGGATCATTTCTTGTGCTATAAAGTCTGCATTGTAACTTTTATTAGCTGCATAATATTTCAGGCCCTTCTAGACTAGAAATTCAATAATGTGGAAGTAGAACTATCCTGGACTTCTTCAAAAAAAGGTTTTAGGATGGCTATAGACCATTGCACCAAATTTTAAGAATTGATGGATAAGGTAAGTTTAGGTAGAATCATTATAGAATACCTTTTTTTCTCCCTGAGGGATGGGACTCACTTTTTGCTTTGACTGAGTGGGATGTTAAAGATGGGTTGAGTCAATCTTTGATGAATTCCGGGAGCTAATAAAAGTTTTGGTTATAAGCAGACATAGTCCCTGTTTAGCAAGATGCTGGAGGTGCTGTTCCAGGAGAGCGAGAGAAATGAAAACCAAGCTAGATCATGATCGGAGGCCTGAATTACTGAAGTGGGAGCCCTGGCCTTGTAAACATGCACTTTCCATCACCCCAACTTCCATATTAAAACAATCCTAACCCATTTGACCCACACCAGCATCCACAGGCCCACAGGAAATACTCCAGGGCAGTAAATTAGGACTGTAAGGGATCTGCTGGGTCACAGGTTGAGGAGAAAGGCGCCTTACACAAGCAGGAGCAGAGTGGAGGAGATGGGCAAGTCATGGGCCAGGCGACAGCCTGACAAGTGTGTTTGTACATGGCTCCTCCAGGTGAAGTCTGGATGGTTCTCAGTTACACCACTTGGGAATTGATTAACTAAATATTCAGTTAGGTTTAAAAGCATACTTAAAAAAAAACATATAAAAGTATGTGTCTGAAGATTATGGAGGTATGCTTATTTCAAATAAGTAGAATGCTTTCCTCTTAAAACTTACCTGACATGAGCAGCACTAAGTAAATGGGTGTTTTATTTGAGTAAGGAGAGAGGGTAGGTAATTTCAGATAACAAAGCATTCTGAACTAGGCCAGGCAGTCCTTAAACAATGTACTTGTTGCCAGATATTAAGACAGGGAGGTGGGGAGATACGGAAAATAATTTTTTCCCTACTGCAAAATGTTTTTAGGGATTGGTGTTACACTCAGGAAAAGAGGAGACTTTTCTTCTGTCCCCTGGTCTGTATGGTCCCTTACTTCCAGGACCCAAAGTGTGTGTTGTTACAGTTGGTACTTAACAGTTCAGTTTATACAGGCTGCTCTGTGAATCAGACCACCGGGAAAGCACTGTTCAGATCATAAAATGTAATGTAAGCTCCAAATAGTTGTCTTAACAAGCACACTGTTGAGACCTGGCATACAGAATTTGGGGACTCTGTTTTGTAAACTGTTAGTTTCTGGAGTTGAAATGTGTTTGATGGAGAATTTGGTTATCTGTAAGAGTTATTTCCATATATCGGGGGTTAACCCAGGTGCGCCGTTCACAGGGTGCCATACCTGTCCCACTTTGGCATTCTCGCAGACGAAAGCTTCATAGAATCTGGGGAACTCTGGGGCATTGTCATTCACATCTAGGACTTTGATTGTGACAGAAACACTTCCAACCTGGGAGGGATTGTCTAAAGAGAACACAAGGAAAACCAAAAACACAGGAGTTTAGTAATGCAGAAGAAGAATGCTCTTTCCTGGAAGTCAGTGTTTACCTGGTCAGTCTGGGTCTTAGAGGAATGGATAAAGTACATGGAAATGGTAACACAAGTGTAGGATGCATCTGTCGCCTGCTCAGAGTGGGGCCAGGCAGAAGAGGCAAGGACAGAACGAGGTGTGTGTTGGAGAGTGTGTTTGCTATCAGGAGTATGAGGGGAGAAAATGTCACAAAATGAATCTTAAAAAGAGGTTTTGAATCTCCCACTTGGCTCATACTTCTGTCTCTGGAATGAAAGGCAAGTCAACTTTATATTCTAGGCTTTCAAACAGCCCATTTCTGATTGGATGCATACTATGTGGCACTGCTTGGCTTTGTTCCTGTGGAATAATCAGCTCTTTGAATTATATTTCCAAAGGTTTCAAGTTATTCACCGGAATACAGATAACACTACACATTCATTCCTGCTTAGGGACTAAGGGGATATTACGGGATCAAACACATACCAAATCCATATCTTTGGCTGGAGCAGAAGTTCTCATAGTCACTCATGAGGAAATATGGTTTTTGGTCTGTGTCTTTTTCTTGGCACAGCCACACACAAGATAATTTCACAGCCCCAGGAATGCCCCCCCTGTCTTTTTCTGTTTTTGTCACCACCCCAAGGAGATGAAATAGAAATAACAAGACACAGAAATTATTCTTGGCGAATAATTTCACTAAATCCCAGAATGCATTGTTCTTCTGGTTCGTTTTTTTTCTTTCTTTCTCAAAAATAACTATGCTCTACGATTTCCCCCCTAAATACTTCTATTGCTTGGTTACCAGAAAGTGCCAGCATAATTAAAATTTATTTTGTCATTATAACAGTGGTATTTGTATATAGAAAGAATAATGAAAATTTCATGAAAAACATAGAGGAGAGGAGAAATATGATCTACAATCCTACCACCAGAGATATCTGTTATATATGTAACATTATACAGTATATGTGTCCAAAAATGTGAAGCTACACGCACACACACACACTACAGTTAAGCAAATAAGAGTTGGATTCAGAACTTTAATTTAATTTTAGGACAAGAGTATCTTATGTCACTGTATATACTTTGAAAGCATAGGTGTCAAGGTCTATATGATACTCTTATTTTACTATAGGTTGTATCACAATTTATTTAGTCGATTTCCTATTACTGGACATTTAAGTAATTGCCATTTTCTATTTTAAAATAACATTGCAGTGGACATTTTCATATATAAATCTTCGTTGATGTCTCTATTCCCTTAAGATAATTACTAGCAGAATTTCTGAGAAAAAGCATATGAGTATTTTGGGGAATCTTAATATATATTGCCAAATTGCACTCCTGAATTGCTGTGCTTAGATATTGCTAATAGGTTCAGGATTACCATTTTTTTGAACCTTTACTATCACTAGGTAGTATGAAAAGCAATTGAATGTAGTAGTTTATAATAAAATTTTTGTTAAATTTATACTATATATTAATCTAGTCTTTATTAATTTTCCATTCCATTTATAAGTTTATTAATAAATTTTCCTATTATTGTAAGATATCTCAAATTCTTGTAGACATAGATGTGTGTGTCTGTAAGATGAATAATGTTATAAATGCTTCCTTTTATCCAATGGTAATATTTTATACTATTTATGCACTCATGATCTTATTAAATATTGAAAGCCGTGTAGATTTCTCAGGAATCTTTCCTTTTCCTCATAGTTACTTGGGGTAAAAATGCTATATTTTCCTGATTTTGCATGTTTTGTGTGCACAGAACTAAGTACACAGGAGATACTCAAAAAATATTTGAACTGAATGCATTCCCTTACTTGCATAAACCATAAAGACCATTTCTTCCCTTAAAGAATATAATTTTTATTACACGTTCAAGAAACTTCCACTTTTTACAACACATATTTTGTCACTGCACGGAGACCAATTTGTTGTGCTACTTACTCATTTCCATAGCAAGGACAGTGATATTATGCCAAGAAAATTCTTCCCGATCTAGGGGTCTTGCAGTCATTAGGGCACCTGTTGTAATATCAACATAGAAAAATCTTCCAGGGTCACTGTTTCTGTCAATGGAGTATCTGCAAAAACATGGATTATGTATATCATTTTCTATTTATTTGCTAGGGAGTCCCTACCTATAGGAGGCTTTTAGCAGGATGTACCATGTCTGTCTAGGTTACTTATTGTAAATAAGCCTGGAGTTTATGAATTTCTGGGGTACAGCCTGCTGGAAAATGTCATATAAACTATGCAATTAATGGAGTATAACAAGCAGATGTTCCATAACAAAAATGGCTCTTTCTGTTCAGGCAATGCACTTTATCTATTGCTTCCACCTTTCATGTTCAATCTGAACCAATGTGCATTTTTTTTATTTCAAAGTATTTCAGAGGTACAAATATTTTTGGTTACATGGCCTGTCATCTAGTGTTCATTGTACATGTTAGGTAGGTTTTCATCCATCTCCCGCTCCCCCCTGCTTGATTTCCATGGAGATTGACTTCCCCTCTGTGCACATGTGTGCACTTTTATGCAGGTGAAGAAGGATATTTACAGGGACTTGTGCCTGACAATTTCAGACCTCTCCAAGGGGAGAATGCTTGACTCAAATTTTGCTCTTGTTTGTATCCTTTGAGTCATTAGTTAACTTGGTCCTAGGTAAGATCTATAATTTCTGTTGAATCTGATTTGGCAATCCACTTCCTTTGTGTTATCTCATGTGGTCCCCATCTTGGAAGATTCAATAAGTATGGACAGAGTCTCAGGCATCTGTATGTTCAAAACCTTCCATAAGAAATTTCGATATATAGTCATGATTGAGAATCATTATTGAGAACCTGCGTGGTCCTTAGTAAAGGCCAGTAATTGTTATTGTTTTTATTATATATACATTTTTTTGAGACAGAGTCTTGCTCTGTCACTCTGGGTAGAGTGCAGTGGCATTATCATAGCTCACTGCAACCTCAAACTCCTGGGCACAAGTGATCCTCCTGCCTCAGCCTCCTGAATAGCTGAGACTACAGGTGCATGTCACAATGCCTGGCTAATTTTTCTATTTTTAGTAGAGATGGGGTCTTGCTCTTGCTCAGGCTGGTCTCAAATTCCTGAGCTCAAGCAGTCCTCCCACCTCAGCCTCCCAGAGTGCTAGGACTATAGGCATGAGCCACCGTGTCTGGCCTCTCTCTCTCTCTCTCTCCACACACACACACACACACAACACTAGAAATTTATTGTTTCATAGGAGGCTGGGAGTCAGAAATCAGCATGTCTGTAGAGTTGTTTCCTTCTGAAGGCTGTGAGGGAAAATCTGCTCCATGCCTCTCTTATGGACAGCATTTTCCCTGTTGGATTCACATCATCTTCCTTCTGTGCATGTCTCTATGTGTGTAAGTCTCTTTTATATTTTTAATAGAAATAATAATTGTATATATATTTATGGGGTACAGTGGGATGTTTTGATACATGCATACATTATAGAAAGATCAAATCAGGCTAATTAACATGTCTGTCACCTCACGTACTTACAATTTTTTTTTTTGTGGTGAGACTATTTAAAATCTATTCTTTTAGGCTGGGCATGGTGGCTCATGCCTGTAATCCTAGCACTTTGGGAGGCTGAGGCGGGAGGATCACTTGAGTTCGGGAGTTCGAGACCAGCCTGAGCAAGAGCGAGACCCTGTCTTTACTAAAAAAATAGAATGAAATTAGCCGGACAACTGAAAATAGAAAAAAATTAGCTGGGTGTGCTGGCGTGTGTTTGTAGTCCTAGTTACTTGGGAGGCTGAGGCAGGAGGATCGCTTGAGCTCAGGAGTTTGAGGTTGCTGTGAGCTAGGCTGATGCTGTGGCCCTCTAGCCAATGGCAACAGAGTGAGACTTTGTCTCAGAAAGAAAAAAAAAATCTATTCTTTTAGCAATTTTGAAATATACAAAATACTGTTGCTAACAATAGTCACCATGCTGTGCAAAAATAGATCACCAGAACTTATTCTTCCTGACTAAACTTTGTGCCTTTTGGCTAACACCTCCCTTTCTTTTTCTACCTGCCAGCCTCTGGTAGCTGCCATTGTACTCTTTATCTCTATGAGTTTTGTCTTTTATGGACTCTGTGTAGAAGTGAGATAATGTATTTACCCTTCTGTGCCTGGCTTATTACAAAATTTCCTTCTTTTTGAAGACTGAATAGTATTCTATTGTGTATATATACCACATTTTAAAAAACCATTCATCTGTTGATAGGCGCTAGATTGTTTCCATATCTTGGCTATTGTGAATAGTACTGCAGTGAATATGGGAGTCCAGACATGTCTTCGACATACTGATTTCAATTCTTTCATATATATACCCAGCAGTGGGATTGCTGAATCATATGGTAATTCTCTTTTTAGTTTTTTAACCAACCTCTGTACTATTTTCTAAAATGCCTGTACTAACTTACATTCCCATCAACAGCATATAAAGGTTCCCTTTTCTCTCCTCCTAGCCTATATATATATATATATAAAAATATTAATAATGGCCCCCCATATACATGTGTATGTATAATATATATATAGTGTGTGTGTGTATATATGTTAGTATAGTGTTTGGTAAAATAATGTTTTGTTTAAAATACAGCATATAGGTTGTTTTTTTTTCCCTGCTGAGACTCAGGATGGCTGTTCACAGAGTTAGGGATTAAAGAGCCAGCTGATGAGTAAGGGCTAGAGAAGTTGGAATCATTTCAGTAATGACTCCCTAAGAGTTAAGGAAATTTAAGAAAGCAAATTAATGCCTGTCTCTGCCTATGACCCTATTTAATAAACATCTATTGTATGTCAGGCACTACTTAGCACATACCACATACATTGACTCATTTCATCTTTACAATAACACTGTGAGGTAGGTACTATTATCATCCCCATTTCACAGATGAGAACAATGAGGCACATGAAGGGGTTAGGTCACTTGCCCAAGATCACACTGCAGGGAATCAAGCTCAGGCAGTCCTGCTTCAGGTCTCTGTTTCTAACCACCAGGCCATGTTGCCCTACCACCCTATGAGATCATTTAAGGAAACAAAACTTTATTTCTTAAAGATAAGCCATGGTAGCTAAGAGTTGACTTCTTAATAAAGAAAAAAACACATGCCTATAAAGTTCATTTAGAATGAACTGGATCACTATTTTTTCCCCTGGCTGTAATTTGTCATGTTTTAAAGTTTCCTGGCTATTTTTAGAGTTGAACTTTCTTTTAGGAAAAAAAAATACAGGTTGGCTCATAGTCTTATCTTTTAGCCCCCCAACACGGGAGAAAAGCCTGGGCAATGCGGTCCCTGGAGCCTTAACCCTGTTGGCAGCTCTCCAAGAGGCAGGCATGGTGCCGAGGGGACAGGCAGCCTGTGATTGACCAGCTTTCTGCACCCAGAGCTGCGGCACCAGAGTGACTGTCACAGACACACGGGGGATGGGGTGATAGAAATAAGTAACTGACAGCACTGGCTGCTGACACACCAGAAGCCCTCCTTCTGGAAGCCTCCCTCGTCAATGGGAATTCCTCTCTGATTTCCTAAATGAGGCAGGACTTGAGGGAACAATGGCCTTGCTTCTCTGAAGAGGAGCGATTAGTAGGTCCAAGCCAGTTTTCAGGAGGCAGAAGAACACATTAAAGGTGCAGATACAGCTGGAAAATGAGGGAATTGGGACACACTAGTGATTATGTAGGTGGCTTTCTTTTCTCTAACAATAATAGTCTCACCTGTTGTGAGCAGAATTGGCACAACACACACCTACGAAGTTGCCTTAAGCCAACAGTCGCCGGTGTGTGCTGGGCTCCCCAAGCGTTCGCTTGGCTGAGGACATTCTCTGAATTTGGAAGTGCTTTGGAGGTCGGGTGTCAGGGGCAAGCTTGCTAAGTCCACACACGCTCTAGGCAGGCACAGGAGGGCAGGCTGTTTCCACACCAGCAGAAGCCTATTTCAGTCGCCAAATGGTTCAATATCCTGCTTGCCAGAAATTCCTTGAGAATGTATTAAAAATTCTGGGTAGCCAAGCATTGTCTTCTCCACGTGCACATAACTAAATCTGGAGATTTCATTTGGGGCTTACCAGTAAACGATGACCAGCTTATATACCTGAACACACCATCAACTTTCTGGAAAAGAGATTATAAAAGTCCTAATAATTTTTAAGAAATGTTAAATGGCCTTTTATCTGTAACTTTTTAAACTCCAGGTGATATATTGATTCTTTTGTGATTTAATAGGTATTTTCTATTTAGAAGTATAAACCTGAATTTATTCTTCATAACAAAATTGCAGAATAAAAATTAGATGGCCATGTAGCATGTAATATATACAAATTATTTTGATAGAAAATAACTGTTCTATGAAAAATAAGGATAAAATGGGCAATTTGGGGAGAGAGAACATTAGAAAACAATTTCCAAATAGATTTATTAAATGATAGCCAGAGGTTTAACTTATAGGTGTTTTTCCCTCTGAGAGTCTAGGACCCCCAAAGTTGCGCTTGGGTTCAGGGATCATTCTTTGTTGCTGTGGTACATTACAAAGAGTCAGGGACCTCATATCTAGCATTAAGAATTCTGCCCTTTTTTCCAACTAAAATGCAGAGGGAGAATTATCCCCAGATCTGATAACTGGAATTTCTCTTTGCCTCCTGTGCGTGAGTTCTTGTCTTCTTACATCCAGGCCTGTGGCCCTATTCTTGCCAGTTTCTTGTGATCTAGAGTCCTGCCTCAGAATAGCCCAATAGATGCTGCTCTGTGCGTCTGGGCTGTTCACCATTGCATTCATCTTGGCCGGACTCTACTGGAATAGCCAGGCATTCCTTTATGGACCTCCCTGATACTAATGTGCTGGCCAACTGATGGTTTTCTACTGGCCCATTATCTGAAGCCACATTTTCTGTTAGCCAGACAGGATTCCTTAATCCTTTATCCACCTCATTTTGCTCCATGCCAGCAGTGCATCTAGACCTGCTGGTGTTTCTCTTTCATTCCTAGATGTGCCTTGAGACAATGACTTTAGTCCTGAATACTGCGCATACACTCTGGGAGTGTGTGTGTTTCTTGACTGTGTTGTCTTTTTGTTTGTTGTTCAGTAGTGCAACTCCTAACAGAACCCTTTTCCAGTGCTTACCACATAGGGATCCAGGATCTGAATCTAGAAAGAAGATGTGGAAGTATCCATAGAATATTCTGGCGGTTTTAGAAATGGGATCTGATTTTTTTTAAGTTTTGCTTATTTTATTTCAAACAGTTTCCCCCATGAAGTTTTATTCTCTAAAGTTTTCCCCACAGTATCTTCTCTGATATGAATAGACTAAAGTATTATAGATTAATAGGTATATAATTAATATAGATCAGAAAGTACATATTCCATATTGCTTCTGAAAATAGAAATTTACAATAGAATCTGCTTTTTTTTGTTGTGATTGTTTGAGGGATAATATAGTTTTGCTAATTTCTCCCCATTCTCTTTTATAAAGCTTAAGGTTGAAATATCACTTCTGTAAAGTTGTTATAACTCATAACAGAAAGATTAGTTGGCCTTTGAAAAAATAAAATATCAGAATTCAAACTGCTCAAAAGAACAAAAGACACTCTATAAAAAAGACACCTGCACTTGAACGTTTATAGCAGCACAATTCACAATTGCAAAGATGTAGAAACAACCCAAGTGCCCATCAATACATGAGTGGATTAGTAAAATGTGGTGTATATATATATACACCATGGAGTACTATTCAGCTATAAGAAACAATGGTGATATAGCACCTCTTGTATTTTCCTGGATACAGCTGGAACCCATTCTACTAAGTGAAGTATCCCAAGAATGGAAAAATAAGCACCACATGTACTCATCAGCAAATTGGTATTAACTGATCAACACCTAAGTGGGCATATAGGAATAACATCTATCGGGTGTCGGGCAGGTGGGAGTGGGGAGAAGGGGGTGGGTATACACATACATAATGAGTGCAATGTGCACCATTTGGGTGATGTACAGGCTTGAAGCTCTGACTCTAGGGGCAAGGGGGAAAGGCAACACATGTAACCTAAACATTTATACCCCTATAATATGCTGAAATAAAAACAAAACAAAACAAAATCATTTTAGCCATTTTAATGCCTGAACATGTGAAATGTTTACTAGTGGGTTAGAGGCAGCAGATTTCTCCCTAGGACAGTTATTCTCTGGAGAGAGTCACTCTTGTTAAACTGTAAAAGCACATTTTCATTAAATACAAAATAGCACCAGGTGAGAGAAGGAGCCAGCTGACAGAAAAGGCATTTGATAAATTGGGGTGTGTTTAAAATGTGTTATCTACACTAAAGCCCCAGATTCATTGTACTATGTGGCTTTCAGCAATTAGTGTGACAGATGGCCTCAAACAGCCTTGGAATCCTGATCTTTTGTGTCAGGCTTCAGAGGCTTGGCAGTCGTTTTGGAAGGTTGAGGCGTCAACCTGTCCACCAGCTATTTGCACTTTGGTTCCAGAATTGATGGAAAATGGCCATGATTGTAAGAGCAATTCCCTTCTTGAGGGGCAGCATCTTGGTTGGAATCTTTAATTTCAAAACATACCTTGGAGAGACAGATATGTGGGATTGCAGTACAAAGCCCTGTCTGGCCAGTCTGCATGGCATCGAAGCCACTGACAACAGGAGGAATAGTTTCTATGTCTGTTCTTTTCTTAGTGTATGGAAATATACATGGTACATGGTATTTTCTACATTTTTTAAAAGTAAAAAATGTCAAAGGCTCATAGAAGTTGGAAGAAAGTGCAATGATCACACCTTATATTCACCACTAAGAATCAACAGTTTGTATCATTTTGATATCTATGTGTCTGACTAAGCTTTATCTGAATTGGTGATTCTAACCTGGGGGGGATTTTGTACCAACTCCCTGGGACATTTGGCAGTATCCAGGGACATTTTATGTTGTTACCGCTCAGGGGGTGGCTACTGGCATTTCATGGGTAAAAGAGATGCAGCTAAACATTGTTCAGTATACAGGACAACCCACCACAACTGCACAGAATTATCCAAGCCCAAATGTCAATAGGACCACGATTGAAAACTGAGGAGTGTATGCGCGTGTGTATTCGTGTGGCTGAACCAAATGAAAGTGAGTTGTAGACATAATGACACTTCATTTCTAAACAACATAACAGGCCATGTTACTTAAACAGAAAAATCTCAAAGAAAGAGGAGAGTCTCCAGGGATGGGATAGAGAAGGAAGAAGCAAAGGGAACAGTGTGAGAAAATTATATACAAGGGAAGGAAGATTCCAGGGAATAAGGAAAAGGCGAAATCTGTGGGAAAACCTGATTGAGTTGTTGGTCACATCCGGGTCCTTGGCAGAAAGGATCTGTATGGTCGTTCCAATCGCCACATCCTCAGGCACCTCCACAAAGTAAAAGCCAGGTTCAAACACGGGGGGCTCATCCACATCTTCCACACTGATGTGCACTGTCGTCGTGTCCTGGAATGGGCCCAGGTTCAGAAAACGCATCTCTAGGTGAGGATTGGCTCCTTCCACCCTTAAGGTGTAGCTTTTCTTGCTTTCAAAACTCAGGGGCTGAAAAGTAATGACAGGAAAACCGATTAGCCACTAGCATATATGTTAAGGTTCTAAAAGGATGTCCAGTATCGGTGGCTGGTGGGAAGATTCCCAAATTCATTAAAATGATGGAAAAGAGGTGAAGGGGGAAAAGGAAATTTTTCTCTTATTCTGTAGTTCTTGGTCTAAATGTTAGTTTCAACACCTTGGGTAAGGAAGATAAGGAAGAAGCCAGACACTTCAGAGATAGTTAAGAAAGCCAGTGTGATGACAAGGAAAGCCATTATCCTGGGCAAGCTTGGCTTTAACGTGTCCGCTCTTTTTAATCAGCATGGTCTTTAGAGACAGTCCTGGGAGCCCCCTAAGTTCGGGGCTTACTTTGCCTAGGACTGTCTCAGTTCTGAAATGAAAAGTGTTATTTCCTGGGAACCCCATTTATCCCAGGTAAACCAGGACAGTTGGTCACCTTCTCTTTAGAGATGCTTGCTCACTTGAAAAGAGGTAATGACAAACAAGAAGCAGCTGTTCTGCTCCACAAGAACAACCAAACAAAGGAGGCGGCGGCTCTGCTGGCTTTCTTCAAAAAAAAAAAAAAAAAAATTCTTTTTGAGTACCAAGACAATGGTGATTCTTTCCAAGAAACTATCATAAGTGCCTCACAAGGGTTCTTGGAGCACCTTGTCAGATCAATATATGTGTATTTAGTTCATCATAGATGATTCCTTTTAAATCCTGATTTGCCACCTTATTTTATAGTTGAAGAAACTGAGACTGAGGGAGCTCAGAAGACTGGACTAAGCTGACATGGTTATGTAGGTGGAGCTGAAATGCTGGCCAAGTGTAAGAATTCCTCACCCAAGGCTCATCCACAAGACTTTAATTTTTGTCTATCAAATTCCATCTCCTAAAATATATTTTTTTTGATTGTTTCCTTTTTTGATCTATCCCTATCTTGAGAATGTTTTATTTCAAAATAAATATAGTACTCCAGGGCAGAAAGTGAACCTAAATGTTATTTCTGAAGAATAATCCATTTTTTAAAAATCCATTTTTAAAGCTGATAAAAATGTTTAAGTGTTTTAAGCAATAATTGTCTCAGAACATCAATAATTTAAAAAATGGAATTTGCATTCTATAAAATAATTACAGTGGATAGCAAAGCAGTTATTATAGCTTAAAGTCATATGTCTACATGGCAATGATGAATTTTTCAAGTTAAACATCATTTTTTTCATAAAATGTGCTGAATGTCAGCACATTGCATGTTAGAAAGAGGCATGTGCCTGTTTAAGCAACTGCTTTGCTTTTGAGAAACAAACATCTGTAGAAGTTGCTTTAACTAAATGTATTATTTTCTTTTTTTAACTTAAAATTTTTTATTGATACATAATAGGTGTGCATATTTTCAGGGTACATGTGATAATTTAGTACATTCATATAATTGTTATTTTTAAATTTTAATAAAAAAATTTTTTTTTTGTTTTCTTGCTGTTTGGTTACCACTTGTTCAGCATTTACTTAGTACCAGACATTATGCTCCTTGTTTCTTGGGTTTTTAGCCATTTCCATTCAAAATAAGCAGTCCATTTCCAACAGCCTGCCTGCCTCCCTTCTTATTAGTTAAAAGGCAAGGTTTTCATAAACATGGAAATCTGCCAGTCAGATTATGATATATTTGATTGACTAGTCTAGTTCTACCAATTTATTTATTCTTGCTCCCTAAATCTAGACATTTTTCTTTCCTGGTACATTACATCACATTCTCTTAAAATTCTTTTCTTTATGTATGAGTAACACAAAGTGGACACTGTTGTTTATGTTAGGTTTGGGGTAGGCAAAATTTGTTTGCCCCTTATTTTTAAGTCATTTTTCTAATTTGGTGTGAAATTTGTACCTGTTTTTTAAATTGAGGTGAATTTACATATGTTAAAATTCATCTTTCTTAGTGTAAAGTTTTGCAGGTTTTGACAGATGTATTCAGTCACATGTCTCCCATGATAATCAAGCTGCAGAACTGTTCCATCACCCTTGTGACTTCCATCTCTGCCCTTTGTAATCAACCTCTTCCCTCACACCAGGCCCATGGCAACCACTGACCCATGTTCTGTCCCCATTGCAAGAATGTCATATAAATGGAATCATTCAGTATTTAATCTTTTGAGTCTGATTTCTTTCACTTAGCTTGACACATTTGAGATTCATCCCTGTTATTGTATGAATGAATGGTTTGTTCTCTTTTATTGCAGAGTAGCATTCCATTGTATGGATGTCTAACAGTTGATTTATCCATCCTCTAGAGGTATATTTAGATTGTTTCTAATTTTTGAGGGTTGTGAATAAATCTGCTATGAACATTTATATACAGATTTAAGTGTGAACATAGGTTTTCGTTTCACTTGGGCAAATACCCAGGAGTGGGATTGCAGGATTGTATGGTTAGTGTATTTTTAACTTTATAAGAAACTTCCAAACCAGTTTTCAAAATGGCAATACAATTTTGAATTCCCGCCAGGAATGTATGAGAGTTCTAGTTTCTCCACTTCCTTGTCAGTACTTGGTTTTGTCAGTTTTTCTGATTTTATCTATCCTAGTGTTTGAAGTGGTATCTCATTATGGTTTTAATTTGCACTTCCCTAATGTCTACTGATGCATCTTTATGTGTCTTCTTTTTGTTTTTTCCTTTTTCTTTCATCATATTATGGGGGTAAGGTCACATATATTGCCCTTGCCATCCCTACCCCCCCTTTATGTGTCTTCTTGAAGAGTTTTTTAAATATATTCTATATTCAAGTCTATTATCAGACATAAAATTTGCAAATATTTTCTCCTGATCTGTGATTTGTCTTTTCATTCTCTTAACGGTGTCTTTTGAAGAGCAGAAACTATTAATTTTGATGAAGTTTTATCACTTTTTCTTTTGTAGATTGGGATTCTGGTTTCATATTGAATGAATCGTTGTCTAATCAGAGTCATAAATATTTTTTTCCTATGTTTCCTTTTAGAAATGTTATAGCTTTAGTTTTTTTTTTTTGCATATAGATATGTAATCCATTTAGGTTTATTTGTGAGGTATAATCAAGATTCATTTTCTTTTTTGCATGTGGTATCCAATTGCCCCAGTACCATCTGTTAAAAGCAATAGAGTAAGTTTTTAATTATTGTTGAAATTTCTTTTTAAATAAGTTACTTAATGCCATTTAAACTATTTAAAATTATTGTCTTCCTCACTTCCACCTTTAAAAAGGAAGGAAAACATTGCCCTAAATATCCTATTCTTTAAATTGCCAACACTTGATATAAGAGTTTGGCTTTTCCCTCTTGAATAGTTTGTGCTCTTATTATTTTAAACACCAAAGAATTGTTTATTTTTATATTCATATTAGTAAATCAAAGATTAGTAATATCTGAGAACCCAAGTTCCAAATTTAAGAAATTTCCTAGAGTTTGAGCACACAAAAAAATGAAAAGCCATTATATTCTTAAAAATTGAGTCATGAAAGTTATGGCACAAAGTAGTCATGCAGCTTTAATTATTCATGAAGCAGAATTAAGTATTTTCTCCTCTGTTCTCAGAGCACAGGATCATACTTTCATTATAGCTCTTCTTATTTTATATTACAAATATTTCTTTCTGTGTTGATCTTCTTTTCTAGACTCAAGGGCAAAAGCTATGACTTGGTCAGAGTTTTTATTCCCCTGTGCCCAGCAAAACCTAAAACCATAAAGGTAGCAAAAAATATTGTTACATTGAATAGTGTCAAATGTTTCTCAGTGTGAGTATTAACATGTACTGGTTGAGTGGTAAATGTATAGAGACTTTATGCTATATTTCAGTAATTCTAAATGCATATTTTTTCATTTTGGAAATGGGGTTGCTTCTCCAGTTGATGAAACCTTATACTTGCTGTAGGCTCAACAGGAGATGACAGATGTAGCTGTTACTACCTGTGCAAGCCAGACCTGGTCAAGGGTGTCCATGTTGTTGTCCTTGCGTTGAGCTCCTCACATTGTTGGTACTGCATGTGTTGAACTTTCCTGCCTTCTAAAATGTCTTCAAAAAGATTGTTTTATGGTTTGGCCTTAAAACAAAAGGTGCATAGGCAGAATGGCATGGAAACATCAGCAGGAAGTAAAGCTGACATTGGTGACATCAGCAGGAAGTAAAGCTGACATTGGTGAATTAAGTTTGTCTAACTGTGTCTATAGGAGCTCTTTAAATAACTATAAACCAAGAAATAAGACAGCATTGTATCATTTAAGTTGGCAAGAATTTTTCTTAAATGGTGCATAAAACGATGAGATTTGTAATCAGTGGCATCTTAGATTTGATAAAATACAGGATTTTTGTTCTTTGCGACCTGGCTAAGAGGAGAATGGACTCTAGACAATTGATGCTTGTTGCTGGAAGATGGAAGACATGCTGAAGACTAGGAAATGGCACAACATCATGCTCATTCAGAGTAAAGAACATTCTGAAAATTGTATATTTCAAGTTACATTTTCAAGCATTTAAGAGACTGAAAATCAATTGATTGATTACTTAAAAGCTAAAAAGACCCAAGATACTGAGTAGTAATCAGTGTGGTTTTGTGAAGAGACCCAATTCTATCAATTCAACTTAATTTCTCTGTTTGAAAAAGTATGTGCTTTTTAGACAAATATTAATAATAGGCCTAAGGGAAATAAATCAAAAGCAGAACTTTTGTTTCAATTTTATATGACATTGTTAATGACAAAGTGGAAAGATGAGTGTGGATCAGACATCTGAGTGGATATTGTTCCAAAGGCATAGATTGAACAGTCGATAGTTTTGAAAGCATTTATCATATGTGATTTGTCCATCTATCCAACTTATTGACTTTTTTCTTAATTCCATTTTCTGGTAGCTCACAAGTTCAGAAGAAAAATAAAAAGTACCTTGGCAAAACTGATATATGTTTTGATTAAACATGCATAGAATTTTAGTAATGACAATGAAAAATAGTGTTCTGTTTTAGGAGGTTTCATCTTTTCTCCAGGTAAAGGAGCTGGAGAAAAGACATCTTGAGATCTCTTTTAGATAATTCAGAATTGTAATAGCTAATAGGTTGTTTAAAACTAATGGCTTATAATAATGTCTAAACTATATTGTGATAATTTGACATAAATTATTAATATTATATAAATATTATCAATATTATTTTGAATTATCTAATATATTAAGATATAAAATAAAATTTCAGTATTGAGTACCCCAAAAATTCTTTTTCTGGTTGCTTAATTTTTTGAATAGAACTTTTGTAATAAAGAAACAATAATTATCCAAAACTTTGAGCTTTTACGTTATTTACAGTTATTAGTTGTGGTTACCAATGTATTTTATTATTTTATTTTTGTTTCAGGGTATTATGAGGGTACAAACATTTTGGTTACATTTTATGTCTTTGCCTTACCCAGCCAAGGGTTAGAGGCATGCCCTTCCCCTCTACAATGCTCACCGTGTCGTTTAGTTGTGAGGTTATGTATTATTTTTTACTTGATGCATGCCACATAGTAGATAGAGACATGTGCTTATGTGGCACACCAGATAGGTTTTGTTATTTTTGGTCACTTTTTATAATTCTAGTATGTATTATTAATTCTCAAAGAATGAGAATAAAATAAGAAATTATAGCATTTTAATCACACCCGGATTTATTTGATGATTTAGAAGTTAATCTCAGCATTTTGCACTGTTTTGAGGTCATTGTGTGCTGGTTATAAAGATCTCTGGTTTGTGGAATTCTGGATACATCTATTGATTGCACCTTAAATAAATATAGAACAAGCATGTGAACTCATCCCTTCTTCTCTTTTAAAGCAGTGCTAATTCAGTTCTATGAAACATCATAAAGTTACAAACACACATTAACTTGTGCCACATTTTAAGTTATGACTTCGTTGCTTTTGCCAAGGTCATCAATGGCCTCCGTGTTCCTAAAGTCTGTGGTTAATTTCAATGTTCCTATTTGACCTGCAGCAGTGTTTGTCACAGGTGATCACTCCTTTCCCTGGGACACACTTTCTTCACGTCTTCAGGACACGTGCTCCCTCTTCCCTCCCTGGTCTCGCCTCAGTCTCCTTGCTTGTCCTCACCCTTCTGGGGACCTCTTCATGTTGGGGTGCCTCAGGGCTCATTCCACTGTCCTCTTTCTGTCTATCCTCAGTCCCTTGGAATCTCATTGTGTTTTATTTGCTTTAAATGGCATCCCAAAATTTATGTTTCCAGCCCAGAGCTTTCCTCCCAACTCCCAATTCTTCTAAACCAAGCCATTCCACCTGTCCACTTGGGTGTCCAACAGGCACTGTTAGTGTGACCTGTCCAGGACTGAGTCCCAGTGCTTGCCCCCCTTGCCACCTGCTCTACTTAAAAACTTCCCTGTCTCACTGAATGGCAGCTCCATTCTTCTTATTGCTCAGTTGACTCTTCTTTCTTTCATATCCTCATTCAGTTTTTTAGGAAATCCTGTTCTATCAAAATACATATAAATTCTGACCACTTCTCACCACCTCCATTCCCAGTACCCTGGGCTAAGCCGCCATCATATCTTACCTGGATTATTGCAGTGGGTTCTCAATAGGTCTTCCTGTTTCCATCCTTGCTCCCTTATTTTTTTTTTCCCCAACACAGCCTACAGAGTAACTCTTTGATAATGAGAGACTGGTCATGTTACACATCTGTTAAAATCCTCCAGTCATTCTCCACTTAGAGTAAAAACCAAAGTTCATATAGTCACCCTGTATGGTCCTTTGCAATCTGGCCCCTTTGTTACATTTCTGACCTCATCTCCTAAGAGTCTCCCGCTCTGCTAAGCCTTATAAGCTCCTTTGCTGTTCTTGAAACACAGCAGACATAGTCCCACCGCAGGGCTTTTGCACTAGCTGTCTTTTGCCTGGAACACATTCCTCAATAGCTGCATGCTCATTCTCTTCTCTCCAGAGCTGCCATATACACTTAACTAAATTTCATTCATAGGGCACCTGCAATGTGCACTGCTAACTTGCCCGAACCTCTGCTGTGTCTCTGCTCACTTTAAGTCTTTGCATAAATGTCCCTTCTCTGTGAGGTCAATCCCAACAACCGAATTTAAATTTTAAATCATGTTGGCTCTCCTGATCTCACTGATTTTGTTCTGTTTTGTCCCTCTCCCATGGCAGTTACCACCTTCTGATATAATACTTCATTGTCTTAATTTGCTGTTTTGATTCCCCTTACTAGAATGTAAGATCCATGAGGGCAGAAATTTGGGGTTGTTTTAGTTACTCTCTATATTAAATGCCTAAAACAATACTTGGCGCACATAGTTGACACTCCATAAATAGTTGATGAATAAATAATTTAAGATATATCATGTTTTAAACATATTCAAAATAGAGAAAGAAGAGTAAACCAACAAGTTTTAAAATTAATGGATTTCTTTACATATATATTTACTAGGATGTTAAAGCTTACATTTTTAAAACATTTTATCTTGTAGCTGAGTGTATCCATATGTGCCTTATGTCACAGAAAGAATTGATAGCTTACATTCAAAAAACTTGGAACCTTATCACAAAAACAAGAAGTTTCACGTGATGTAACAATCATCGAGCAACTATGTTTGATAAAGCCTTTTCAAGTTTAATTAGCATTTATGATCTTTGAGAAGCAATTAAAAACTCCCCGCATGTTATTTATTGATTCATAAATAATATTATGGCTTGCTTTATTATTATTTATGGTACAGTATGATGAAATGTGTGTATTCAAGTGTAAATACTGATCAAGTCATTATTAACATCATTAGAGAATTAAGCTACAACATGTTTTTAAGTGGCTAAGTAGTAGAAATTATATATTTATATTTTTATTATTAATATGACCTGGTACAACCAGTGTTTGCATGTAAGCACAAGGAGTAAGAGGGTGTTTTTCAAAAAAATAATAATAATAGAAAAGAGCTTTTATCAAGAAGATTTGAAGGAATACATAGCAGTAGTACAACAGTCCTTACCGGCATTTCATATACATTCAAAACACCCATGAAAGTGATTTGGAAAAAGAAGTTGGATTACCTTCTTTACAGTTATGATGCCGACTTGGAAATTGGGATCTGTGCTGATGTCAAAGGCGTCTGCACCATCTCCATCCACAATAGTGTATTTCATCTCCGCATTGATTCCTTCATCCAAGTCCTTGGCAAACACTCTCCCCACAGTGGAGCTGATTGGAGCTGATTCCAACACACTCATCTGATAATGTTCTACAAAAAAAAGCAAGAACATACACATTCTTGATAATCTGTCACTATAAAAAAATGCCTCGGCATTATGACATCATAACAGGCATGTTGTGCAAAGCATCTTTTTGTCGGTTCAAAAATTAAAACTAGAGTTTTAGAGATGAGAATTGAGGTCCAGAGAGGCTGAGCCAATGGTCATATTGATCATAGCCTGTCCCGGATGTTCAACGAGGAAGAGTCAAAATAGCTCCACCATAATTCTAACAACAGGACAGGATGAAAGTGAAACTATTTCTCATCCTAGTGAATGCACCTTCAGAGTCATAGGAAGAAATACCTTGCTTTCCAGTCTTTCAGTAATTCCTAACGAACTGAAATATTTCCCAAAATGCAAATTCCTTTTGAGAAAGACAGAAAAAAACATGGTGGTCACAAAGTACATATTTATTCTGTTTACATTTCAAATGCCCATTTTCCCTTCATGGCCTGGCCAGTGTGCCGAGTACCTGTCTCTATGACCACCTGCTCAGAGATAATGGAGACCAGCGATCTACAAAGGAGGAACAGCCAGGGAGCGGACGCTCTACCAGCTCCATGTGTTGTCCCTCAGTGTGTCCTTGGACCTGAGATTGCCCACTGGCTGCCTCTTCATGGACAGACCCCTGAGGCTTCATAGTCTCTTGTTCTAGCATAAAATACCAAAAAAGTTCTCACATGTGTAAGAAGCTCAGAGCTGGTAATGTTCTCCTTTTTGACTTGAGATCCTGAATTTTCAATTAAGTTTAGTTCATTTTCATCTCCATGAAGTTATATCTTTGCCAACTTACCTTTTCTGGGGCTTAACTTTTTGACATTCTTTGTTATTTTGTCAATCATAATGTGATTGATGAAATCACAAAGAAAAATCATACAATCTCCTTTTCAATATGTACAAGGTCTCTTTTATTTTAATATACTTTGTAAACTATGGGAGAACTTGGGGTGTGAAAGCTCGAGATTCGTAAAGATTCAGGGAGGGGTGACAGCACCCAGCCAGCTCACGGCACCCTGCCTTGCACAGGAGATGAAATGATGCCCGTTCTTTACAAATACCAGCTGGGACATCTGTGATGTTTGTGCTAAGCTGGATTTCATGATCTCTTACCATTCACTCCCCAAGTTGTTGATGGATTATACTTTTCTATTGCAGAACTTTTGGGAAAAACAAGCATCTGCCTATAATTTTTCCCCACCCAGGAAAGCTATGTTTTGTGTTTAAACATACACATATAATTTCTACTTGTGATGTACTGTATTAGAAATAAATAGCTTGAGATCTTGATATTCCATTATATTTCATTCAATTAAAGATGTCTTAGGTAATGTAAGATAGTAGGCGTGTCATTTTGTCAACATCCCATAATCAGTTATGGTAACATTTGTGAAAAAGAAGCAAAATGGGATTCCTACAATGAGGAATCAGATGATGAATAAGGCAGAAAAGTATATCCAAGATAAGTTTAGGGTATGCCGAGATCATCTAAACATAGTTTTAGCCAATAGATGGGGAAATATTTAATGGCAAGATGAGACAAATTTTTAAAGTCCAAAAATAATGACCATTTTAGAGGAAGCAGAGATAATGCATAAAGAATGCTTAGAGACACAGATATTTAAATTACTTTATACATTTACATTTTGTCTTCTATGAAACATAATCTGTACTTTCACTCTATCCCAGATTCTCCATTATTACTGTATTGTGAAAAAATAGCAACTCAAAATGTATGCTTTGGAATGGTGTTAAGATGTTGGCTCAGGGGCAAGATGAAACCCCCAGTTATCCTTGTATTGTGTTCTGCTGTTGTGAAGCTGCCATGCTTGGGGTGGCATGACTCCCCTGTAATGTGTACAAATCTCTGTACTTAAGGAATAACTTGCTTCTCCTGCCTCTTCTGCTTCTACCAGAGATACCTGTCTAGTGTCAAATTTAAAATGCCAAATAGTTCAATGATGTTCAAGAATCTGTACCCTACAGTGTGTGCAGTGTGAACCATCTATGAAATAATAAAGATGGAACCCACAGGATCACCAAAGCAAGAAAAAGTCCATGCATGTGGTATTTCACAAACCATTCCATGGTGCTCTTGTGGTGTACAGTGTAGGATCGATCAACTCAGTAACCTGCTTACTCTCTTTGTGAAATGCTTCTCTACTATCCTGCCTTTTTCTACCATGAACACTCATGGGGACTTTGCGAATACCAGTTGCATGTAAATATTTGAGCTCTCTTTCTGTATTTACATCGATACTATGGAAGGTTGACTTGGTCTGGCTGATTTAAAATGCAGCTATTCAGCTGATAGTCTGGCTAGTCTGGCTTGATTCTTTCTGTTTCTAGTTTATTTATTTTTTTCAACCTCATTTCCCTGGTTAAATTTTTCACCTGGAATTGTGTCTCCTGTTCTCATTTCTCCAGCTACTCCCTTCAGGCGTCTGCTTCTCAAACCCACGTCTCCATTCCAGGGCTCCGTTCCATAGTCAAAGCTCTATATATCCACCTTCCTTAGGGACATTCAACCTGATTGTCCTGCTGTCACTTCATATTCAAATCTGAATTTGTCTCCCTCCTTCGCTGCCACTGGTTCCATTATGCATCCTCTGTTTCTATTAGTAGCACAATCCTTCTCCCTGTCACTCAGACTTAAAGCATTGTCATCATCTTTGACTCCACCCTCTGCCTCGGTTCTCTTGGCAAAGAAATCAAGAGGCAGAAGTCCATGTCTTACTTGTCCCACTACTCTCCTCCTGCCATGTTTCCTTAAGTCTTTGTTTTTTTTTTTGTTGTTTTTTTTTGAGACAGAGTCTTGCTTTGTTGCCCAAGGTAGAGTGAGTGCCGTGGCGTCAGCCTAGCTCACAGCAACCTCAAACTCTTGGGCTCAAGCAATCCTGCTGAGCCTCCCAAGTAGCTGGAACTACAGGCATGCGCCACCATGCCTGGCTAATTTTTTCTATATATATTAGTTGGCCAATTAATTTCTTCCTATTTATAGTAGAGACAGGGTCTCGCTCTTGCTCAGGCTGGTTTCGAACTCCTGACCTCGAACAATCCGCCCGCCTCGGCCTCCCAGAGTGCTAGGATTACAGGCATGAGCCACCGCGCCTGGCCTCCTTAAGTCTTTATCAGTTCCAATCTGGACCACTCTAAATGCCTCCTAACACACTCCCTGCTTCTTGTCTCTGTCCTGGGCAGCCCATCCTATACATGGCTACCAAATTTGCCTCTCTTTATGTCTCTCTCTTGCTTAAAAACTTCTCTCTGGCTTCCAGTAGAAATACAGCACATTTATAAGAACAGGTCTCGGTTTTAGGGGCTTTGAACATAAAATGCCATCAGCAACTTTATTTCTAGGCCTTTATATATTTATATTTTTCTTACATGCAGGCTTGTTGTACTCAAACGCACTCTAGGAGAGCAGAGATCTTGTTTGTCTTATGCACTGCTCTGGGTCCCCTATCCTAGAATGATGCCTGGAACAAATATTTTTTAATGAATGAATAGCTTCCCCCTTCTGGAATGTTTTCCTTTCTGCTTACCTAAATCCTTTATATTCCTCAACCGTCTATTTGAGTCCTCATCCTTCTGTGAGCCTTCCTTCTCTTGGTTTTATTGTAAAAGCATCATTTTGTGCTATGCAAGTGGCACACTAGTGCTGCTTATTGGCTTATTAACTTTTCCTGTGTATAGAATGTGTTCTCTGCAAGTGGATTTTAAGGTTTACCGGGGCAGGGACCGGGTTTCAAGCATCTTGTGCCCCTCGTGTTCAGAGCCCCACCAAGCAGGTGCTTCGTGCCTCTTGTGAACTGATTGGTTAAGATGGTCCGATGGGTGGGTGCTGTCCACAGCTTTGGCTTGGTTTGAGCGCATGCATTCTCAACAGGTCAATGTCATCCTCCGGGGAGGGGGCAAAAATAAATTGGTTGGGGGGGAGCATGAAAAAAAATTTTAGCTATCATAATAGTTTGTGGCCCACCAAAGTTCAACTCTATCCGGCAAATCTCATTCCTTAGTATTTAGTTTTATGTGGGGTGGGTGGGTGGGTGTGGCAATCAGGAAAAAAAATCTAAAAAGGCTTCATAGGGAGAAGATAGTGAAAAAAAGTGTGAGAAATACCCAAACATTAGTACTATGGGTAGCTGGGAGCCAGAAGGGGAATGGTTATGTGAGAATTGCATGGCGAATGTAGGAAAGGAATCCATGAATAATGGAATTTAACAAGGACACTCAGACTGGCCTTTCTGCAGCGCCACATAGCAGGCGTGTCTCTCTGGCCCGAGCTCTGCTCTCCTGGGGCAGGTACTCAGGCAGGTACTCACTCTGGGGAAAGCGCGGGGGGTTATCGTTGACATCCGAGAGGGTGATGTTGACCGTTGTGGTCCCGGCTAGTCCTCCAAGCTGCCCTCCCATGTCCTTGGCTTGGATAATCACTTCGTAGTATTCTTTGGCTTCTCTGTCCATGTTCATGAGCGCCGTCCTAATTACACCTGCAGGATAGAAATGACTGTTTATAAAAGCAAAGCCACTGATATAGGTTTTTTTTTTTACTCTTTTATTTTTTAAATATATAATATATGTACATATTTTGGGAGTATGTGTCATAATTTAATACATTCATATAATATGTAAAGATGAAATCAGGGTAATTGGTATATCCATCATCTCAAGTAACAGGTCTAGTTTTTAAAAGATCGGTTTCTGTGTTTCTCCCCTGGGCACTGTTAATGCCTAGAGGTGAGATGCAAGTCACCATGTTTTATTAAACTTGAGGTAAAAAATGCCAGCTTCAGAAAAAGCTCTGTGCTGAAACCGAAGGTGTGCTGGTTTCCGGTGGCGACATTACTGAAAGCAGCCAGGAGGTGGCAGCAGTGGTTCTCCTACAGACCCGGGCACCCGCAGTCCAAGGCGAGTTCAGACTGCTGTGTTTCACCAAAGAAAACGGGGGGCTTTGGGTTCAGAAAACAAAACCTTGTATGTCTGCACATCTGTGCATTTAGATAATTCTCCTTCAGCTCTGCAGCCCCTAGAGCCCTTGCAGCGTGAATGACTCTTTTTTAGGTAACTCACTCCTTTTCTGCTTTGTCTGGCCTCCCCACTGCCTGTGAGCAGGGTCGGAATTCTGATTGGATTTTCCTTTTGTTATATATTCATTCTGTTTTGTTGTGTTCTCCTGTTTACCTCTGTGCTTTACTGAATTCCGTGAGCTAGGACATAAAAGATGCTCTGCTTCTTTTATGAGTTGTTTGTTTTTGCCATGCGTAAGAAATGAACTTCCCCAGACACTGAGTAGCAGCATCTCGGTGTGATGATACGGTTTCACTTAAGAAGAGCGGTCTAAACCACAATCCATTGAAATGCGTTGTGCTCCTGCCAAGGATGCGCAGTAATGTTTTATCTGCCTTTTAACCCTTCCACTTAGAAAAGTTGACTTCTATACACTCCAGGCAAAGATTAAAGGCTTACTTACTGCAGGTTTACACCGTGACCCTTGGCTAAACAGACCTGGAGAGGGAACAGCATGGAGAGGGAAGGGACTAGGGACAAAAATCTGTCCACAGTTTACTCCCATAACGTATATATTGCATTTAGTAATAACATTCTAAAGTGAAATACACAGCATTTTCCTTTTTCACATGCCCCCTATGGGCACAGCAATAACTATCTTTTCATGTGTTTTTGACCTTAACACTACAAATGTCCCTGGGAACTGTCAAAATCATGTAAGATTCTTCTTAGGATATAAAGGACACATTACCGTCTTCCTGCCTGTATTTTTCTTCCCTTTGGGCACCCCTCCATTGTCCCTGCCCCCATTAGTAGAATTGTTCAAGTTACTATTTTATAGAAGTCCCTCACTGCAATCTTTTTTTCTTTCCTCCTACTAATTTACACTCTCTCACTTACTACTTTTATGATACAATTCTGAATGTGTCATTCCCCTTAGGACTTCTGGGGGAAAAATTCTATCAGGTTGCTATTAATAGAAATGTGTTTTTTCTCTTTCAAATAAAGAAGTGACTTTGAGTGTTCACCATTAACTTTGCTCTGAGGCTGTACGTTTCTTTATTCAAGTTCCTTGTTAATTTGTTAATTACTCTTAGGTCCTCTATTTTCTCTTATATAAAATGGGTGTAATAATATTTCCTATATATTTTTCTAGTTCATATTAGGAGGCTAAAATATGGTAATGTTTCTGAAAGGATGTAACAAAGGAGAAAGCCTGGCACAAGTGCAAGCGAACAATGATACAATAATTACTCTGCCAAACTCAAGCAGTATTAAAGGGAATCATCATAGATTAAAACATAATTTCTGTAGTCAAAGTTCTTAGGTAAAATGGAAACAAACACAAAGAAACAAAACCCCCAAACTTCTCTTAGTTAGTCCTTTTCTGCCACATTGCTCCTTGCCCATTCAATTCTCCCTGCCATCCTCCCTGTTGGAGCTGCCCAGTCAGGACCTGCCTTTTGGGGGGGCCACATCTCGTGTGCTGTTTCCCCCTCATCAAGGCCTGTTTTCCCCAGTAACCATCCATTCCAGCCTTGTTCTCTGCTTGCTGCAGAGGCTCAGTGGAAAGAACAGCTGATCACACGTCAAGGGTCCTGTCTCCATGGGATGAACTTTGTTAGCTCTCGTTTCCCGACTTCCTTATCCGTTAAGCTAATGGTGATGGACTGGAGGATTCCCCTAAGGCTCTTTCTAGTTCCACAATCAATGATTCTGTTCTCTGGGGAGCCCAGGTGAATGTGTCAGCCCTCTCAAGTCATCGTGGAGTTATAAGACCTTAGTCCCTAGGAATAGATACAACCACAGGAGTTTTGGAGGGCTAGTGAGGGGCTATTTTCTGTGTAGGCAGGTGCTTGGCTGCGGCAGTCAGACACCACACACTGTCTGGGCATAGTTCTGCTCTTACCCAGCAGGGCAGAGCTAGTTGGCTCTCTTAATCCTAAAGCTCATAATAATCTTCTCTGGTTAATACACTCCCTGGAGAGTCCTTGAAAAGGAGAACTGGGCATGTCATAGCAGCAGCTGTAAATTTTTAGGGAATAAAAAGCAAACACCCCTGATTTGACCCTGGCATCAGATACCTGTTTTGGAGTCCACAGAGAAGTATGGCTGGCCCTGGAGAATGCTGTACACGACCCGAGCACTGTTGCCGTAGGTTGGGTCATCAGCATCTGTGGCTGTCACCTGGATAACAGAGGTACCTGAGGAAGAGAAGTGGTGGAAACCTGTTCAGGCCCGATGGCTAACGTCTGGGTGCAATCCAGAATGGTCAGTCTTAGAGCACTTGCAAATGTTATGTTTGCTTCACTGGAAGAGTCCCCAGTCTAGGGCAAGCTTCCACAACTCCCATCTTGTACCTATTTATTATTTTTGAGACAGAGTTTCACTCTGTTGCCCGGGCTAGAGTGCTGTGGCATCAGCCTAGCTCACAGCAACCTCAAACTCCTGAGCTCAAGCGATCCTTTTGCCTCAGCCTTCCGAGTAGCTGGGACTACAGGCAGGCACCACCATGCCTGGCTAAGTTTTTCTATATATTTTTAGTTAGCCAATTAATTTATTTCTATTTTTAGTAGAGACGAGGTCTCACTCTTGCTCAGGCTGGTTTAAAACTCCTGACCTTGAGTGATCGTCCTGCCTCGGCCTCCCAGAGTGCTAGGATTACAGGTATGAGCCACCATGCCTGGCCTCATCTTGTACCTATTTAGTGGGGACAAGAGTTATTTGAGTTTTAAATTCTTTATAATAAGTAAGGACAACACAAGCTTTGGGTTCTTCATTGCTCTATTAGTAATACTAAAATACTCTTGTGAATCAAGTATTCCATCTATCTACTTTTCTATCTAATCTTTTGTTTTTAAAGAATCAGAGCTGAAAAATGGTAATAGCCTTATTATTATTTATTATGGCTGATTCAGCCTTATTATTTATTATGGCTGATTCTAATGTCTAAGTAGCTTCCTGCCATTTTGGTTCAGTTTTATAATTTGTGAGCCGTTCCTCACATACTCTCTTTTCTCCTTCTCTGCATATGTGTGTGTGCGTGTGTGTGTGTGTGTGTGTGTGTGTGTGTGTGTGTGTATGAGTCTCCTGTAGAGCAACTGCTTGCTGTGAAAATCAGTGAATCGCCACCTTACCCACTGGTGACATTTCTGGCACAGTGGCAACATAAGGTCCATCCAGGAACTTGGGCTCATTGTCATTGATGTCTTGGATTTTGATGATGAATTCTGACTCTGGCTCCATTGGCCTGCCTGTTCTCCTATCTAGGGCTTGAGCCCTCAAAGTGTACTGGGCTCTTTCCTCTCGATCGAGCCTCTGAATGGCATGGATGTCTCCAGTGGTGTCGTCGATGGTAAACACGATGCCTGCGCCTTCTCCCGAGAGGATGTATTTGATGGATCCATCTCCCCTGTCCATGTCTGAATGAAGCTGGAGAGTAAAAAGCACCAAATTCTCATTATGGATATGAACAGGAGTTGGAAATAAATCAATTTTTCAGTTTGGGACAAACTTATGACCTCCCTTCATGTAGGAAGATTTTTTTTCCACTCAAATGTTTAAGAAGCTTGTCTACAAAGAACTACTATGCACTGAACACGATTGTATCAAGGAACAAATACAGGCTGATGAATAAGTAAAGTTTTTCCACATCACATTCAGTCTCCTCTAGTCACTATTATATTTTACAGTTCCTCTCCCTGAGAAGTATAGAAAACAGGAACTCCAGAAAGTATAGTTCCCCAAAGTGAGAATAGGAGCAAGTCCAATAAGAAGGAACCCTGTCTTCCCTTTTAAGAAAAAAATAAAATGGCAAGCCTAAACATCTTTAAAAATTGCTATAAATTAATTTTTGGAATATCAAAATCTTTTATGATGATTCAAGTTGGCTGAAAAGCTGATGAAGTGATTCATACCTAGCTTAAGGCCACTGTAGTGGGAATACTATCGACCTCCATGGACCCTTGTAACTCTCCGATTCTCTGATCCCAGTTCTGTAGTTTCATTCGGTGGGACTATGCTTCCTTATGTTTTAGGTGTCAAATGGAATTTAACTGCTGGTTATTATTCTTTCTATCAATGTGTCTCTCTTCTTGGTGGGACCAGTTCTGGGTTCATAATTGAGTCACTTAAATCTATATGGGGATGGTTGAGTTAGGGAAATGCTTTTATTTGCCTATCCAACTCTATTCCTTTCCAGATTACTTAATAATTCTCAAAAGGAGTCCAGGGGCACTATTTTTAATCTCAGGCCTAGATATTTCTGTCTCTGTAATATCTAAGTATAGATAATGTGTATAGGTGGTAAGAGCCTTGCAATTTCTGCTATCCCATGGGTAATTGTTTCTTTGTCTCTAAAGGGGGCAACAAAAAATTAGTTAAATTTAGTCAGTCACCACTAAATCTGTTGTTGCTTGGATTGTAAGCACTTTGCATAGCTCAGCAATGAAGTTCATGAGATTAGTTTATAAAACAGATGACCAGATTTAGGTTTAAGGTGGGGAAGCCACTATATCTGGCCCAGACACTGTACCAGTTATAAATTGAGGGCCTTTTACTAAATTATTTTATGTTTATAACTGTTAATTTCCTCATATTTTAAATGTGGAGAAGAACATTAATAATTACTCTGAAGGGTTGTTGGGATCATTAGAGATTAAGGTACGTAAAGCACAGTACTTTCCCATAATAGGGATGCTATAAATGGGACCGATTATGTTGCTGACATACGTGCATAGAGAAAGGGTATTAACATACCCAGCTCTTCTCTGCTCCCTTCAAACCTCCTGGAGTGCAGGAGAGGAGGTAAAAACAACCTGTTGGCTTTTTTGTTATGCATAGTCCAATGGTAAAAGCTGCAGAAGGCCACCTGAAGCATGGCCGGGACAGTGTTACTCTGTGGATTAAATGGCAGGGACACCAACAAGACTCCTGAAAATGTATTCACAGCATCCCCAGACAGGGATGGGTTTTGAGGTTGTGGCTGGCTTTTGAGCTGATCTTAAATTGACTCACGGCCAAATCACACAGGCAACGGTTTTGCTGCCTGGAGAAACTCAGTTGTGTCTTATCTAGAGAAGGGAAATAAGAGAATAAAATTGAATGAAAAAATAGCTGTGGATTTTATTTTCTACTTAAAGTATTCTATTTAGAATATGAAATTCTCACATTTCCTCATTCTGTATTCAGTACTATCATTCTTTTTCTTTCTTCTTCTTTTTTTTTTTTTGTACAATCCAAATCTTCTACTTATGCAGTTACTAAAAAGTAGAGGTGTCCAGCTATTATTGTGTGGAATAGAAAGCCATTTTATTGGGAACTAGGTACAAAGAAATGGAAATCTATTCCATTTGGAACTGTATTCCGAGGCAGAGGAATGAAATTGGGAGGAGAAGAACAAGGATCTCGGGATGTATTTTAAATTAAAATTATATATATATATATATATAAACTATGGGTGCCTGTGTGTTTACATATGTAATATATGTACATGTATTATAATTTTGAGGCATGTAGCATAGGACTTAGAATGAAATAGGTTAATTTAGGGAATGGCAGATTATTTTGGGGGGGGGGAATAGAAGCTGACATGAAGGACATACCCAGTACTGTTTTGAGGTGATCTATTTGTCATCTAAAAAAGTTTGTCCTGTGAGCCTTAAAAAACTAAGCACACTTGTGGTCATCATAGGCCAGGCATACATGCTTGCGGGGAGTGCTTAATAAATAGCAGAAGCCACACTCTGCTGCTGAAGGGGAGACGCGGTTCCTGGGGTTCCCGGCTGGAGTCACACGGAGTCTGGCCTGGAGCTCGGATCTGTTTTCTTTGCTCTCACCTGTGTTGGGAGAAGAATTTGAGGAGGTGTCTGGACCGTGAGTTCCTTGAAGGCAGGGGCCATGTGATTGTCATCTTAGTGGGGGTCCTGACACGTAGTGCGTGCTCAGTGGAATTTTACTGGAAGAAGGGTACAGGGTTAGGGCTTAAAGCTGTTTGTGGAACGGCGCTGTTCATTTTTAAAGTGCTAGCAAGCACCTCTCAGTAGCTTCTGAGTGCGCGTCTGCGCATGCGCGGGTGCGCAGGGGAGCGGGGAAGGAGGGAGAGACAGCCACGGGGAAGCAGGATGCTGTCAGCGGTTGAAGGGGCCAGGGTCTGCCCACACAGAACTGATTTCTGAAGAATGTAACTGTATCGGTTCGAGGTCTAGTCAGGGAACAAAACTTACACGTTATTTCAGCAGACTTTAATATGGAGGACTGAAAGGCGTAAAGGAAATACCATCAGAGAGCTAACAACTCCAGGGAAAAACAGCCAATGCCCCTTTGGCTGGGGCGACAGAGGGCAGAGTTTGGGGCTCTTGGCCTGTGAGTGTCTGGAGGGGGTGCCCCTCCAGGCTGGGCCTGAGGCCTCTGAGGAGGGAGTGCTGCCCCTGGGGCTGGGGCCTCAGGAGTTGAAGAGGGGCCCTGTCCCCTGTCCTGAGACCTGGGCTCAGGCTTCCAAGAAGGGGACAGCTGTCTGTGATGCTGGCATTTCTGAGGGGGCATGATGAGGCTGGGAGGTAAAAGGAGCAAGTCCCTTCTCCCTCCTCCTGCCTCCTGGTCTCCTTCTGGTACATTCTATGGGCAGAACCTAACGGGGAGCAGAGCAGGTTGGAAAAGGAGAAATCGTGGTTTGGAGAGTCCCAGCCCCAGCACCACGGAGCGGAGTATGGAAAGGCGAGCAAAGAGCTGGGAGACACTAGCTTAATAACCCACGCAGCAGTGCACATTTAATATTCTGCTTTACCAGCCATAGAATACACATTTGGTCTCGAAAATTGCAAAGAAGAGACATTAACAGCTTTTCTCCAAGTCACTCAGCAAATTGGCAGTGTAATAAAAATGTGCTTTATATTTATCCATATTTAATTCAACTAACACTGACTGAGCACCAGCTATTTGGAGGAAGGTAAGGAGCTTCTAAGTGCAGTTGGCAGCACATAGTTATATATAACACATCTTGGGAAAACAATTTTTCCCCCCAAAAAATCTCTTAGACCGAATAAGACAGGTGAATATCTCACTTATCCTAATAATTCTTTAGTCTTTAATATCTTCAGCCAAAGGAGTAGTGAATGATGGAAGTGTGTGTAGAATCTGAACACTCTTAGTTGACTTAGGATTTTGAAAACAAGGGTGATTTTCCCTCCTTTTGTCATCTTTCAGAGTGCCTTGAATAGTTCCAGGAATGCCACACGTGCTTACAATTTGTGGTTAGACAGCTTCCATGTAGTTGTTAACCTCGGCATGACTTGGACCCACAGATTCGTGCACAAGCACAAGCTCTCTGCACCCCCCTCTTTGCATATGTCAATATAATCTAGCTTTAACACGACACCGCCTTGTCCCTGGAAAGCCCACTGTGGATTTTATAAGGCCATACCAATTACAGCTGATAATTGTTGCCATACTCCTTTCTGAAATAAGCAAATACTCTGGCAGGCTCTCTAAACAGACATCTTCCAGAGCTCAAGGTGACAAGCGGAATGCCCCTGGGGTAAAGAGAATGAAAGGTAGATGAATTCTCTTTCAAAAGACAGTACAGGGGGAAAGTGCCTGGGTAAGTGAATATGTAACTATCTTCTCCATGTGGAGGTAACAAATCAATGCAGGGTGAAACCCTTCCCTGGACGCTGGTGTGCTGATTGGATCAGTTGAGATGACTGATGAGATGCACAGGTGTCGTGTATCCTGGGTTGGGGTAATTAGGAAAGGGTGTATACTAATCGTGAGTACTAGAGGGTGCTACACAGCTAAGTATTCCCCAACATCAGAGATAAAGGGATAGGGATACAGTCAGGCTCAGGTGGATTTCTGATCCCACTTTAACACCACTGACTTTTCTGTATGTCCTCAGGGCTAAGTCTAAAGCCACTGGCCACATGTAGATTAATATAAAGGAAATCCTATGGCTTCTATGTAAGAGTGATGGATATTTCTTTTTTTTTTTTTTTTTAACTTTTTCCAAAACATTTATTTGTTCTATCGTTGGATTTGTTTCAGTTTCTGGGTCTCTGGACTTAACACTGATTGGAATTATTACTGATGCAATGCACAGCAGCATTTTGGATTCAGAACTCCTGGGTTTTCTCTTGGTCAACTTGGGCTGCGTCTTTAGAAAAGCTACGCCACGTCTCTCGGCTTCAGTTTTATCTCCCGAGTGATGGATATTTCTACCTGGGATTTACCTGCTACCCATGGTCTAACTTTGGGCAATGGACATAACCTCATTGAGCCTGGTTCCCTGGGTTAATTATACTTACCTCCTAGTATTACTATAATGATTACATTATAACACTTACATGAATGTGACTGACACATAGTACTGTGGTAGTCCAATAAAAACCCTTGTCTTTTTGCACTTCTGTGTGGCCAGTTCTGTGCTAGCTACTCAGTGTCAGGGGGTTATAAACGAGGTTAGGGAGGTGCGTCTCCATTTCTACCCTTCGGAGGAGGGAAGAGAGCCCTAAATTGTACATGCACACAAAGCAATTACTGAGTACAAACATATTCTTTGCTTAAGCTTATTTTGGCAGTAGCCGTGTATTATACGTCTATCTGGGAGAAACGTTTTACAAATATGGAGAAGCTAGAAGTCTTTGGAATTCTGAGCAGATGAAGGATGTGTAGAAGTGGCTTTTACCTGGAACCCTGAGGAATTTGAATGTGGCTTAAGAGAGGAGGTGACCACATGTCCCAGGCAGGGCAGCAGCGTGGGCACACATCTGGGGTGGGGACCAAGGTGGCACGGGTGGTAGGGCCAGTAAGTAGATTCAGCTTGATTGGGATGAGGACCTGATTCGAGAAACTGTGAGACAGGGCTGGATGAGGGAAGAGGATGTCCTTGAACTATACGGTAGGAGCTCTGATAAGCATTTGAGAGCTCCAATGCCTTCTTAGTCAGAGGAAAGGGTGCCTCAAGGAGATAAATGTCCTGAGCCCTGGAGGAGGGATGGGAAGACCTCTCCACAGGGAGATAGGCCCCTCGGGCTTAGTTAATCTAATCATGGAGAACAGAGGATCGGGTAGCCTGGAGAGGAAGAGGTGAGTCTGAGAGAAACTAGCATGGAAATACTGGACAGACATGGTGACTGAGATACATGAAGGATAAAGGAGACAATGAAAGGAGAAGTCAAAGAAAATACACAGGTTTTGAGGCCAGGGGATTTGCAGCTGCATTAGGTATGCATTACTGAGCTGCTAAATTCTCACAGTGAACTCCTGCTACTACTATTCCTATTACTACTCTTACCAGTACTGTTACTACTGTTGCTACTGTTACTACTATTCACTACTACGGGATAATGATGATTAAAGTCTTAATCTGGACCAGGTAGTGTGCAGAGTGCTCTACATGTGTTAGCTTATTTAATCCTTACTACACCATGAGGTATTCATTTCTTTATTCATTCATTCATTAAATATCATTTTGAGCACATTCTCTCAGAGGTGCTGTGTTAGGCCTTGGGGATGAAAAGGGAGCAGGGTTCTTGCTCTCATTGAGCTTCTAAACTAGGTGGGGGCTTCAGACAACAAAACATGTAAATAAAAAAATAAATACGGTAGGTTGTGCTTAGAGCTGTGTAAAAATAATGGTGGTGAGAGTCTAAGAGAGGGGCCTGCCTTAGAGAATAGCCAAGGAAGGCTTAGATTCAGAATGAGCCCCAAAGGGTAAAGAGACATTGACCCTGAAAGAAGCCAGGGGAAGCACATTTCATTATGGGGGGACATGGAGGTGACGCTTGACAAGTTGTAGGAACTGCCCGAAGGCCATGTCCCTGGAACATGAGAGCGAGGGAGAGAACAGCGTGGGATATGTTTGGGCACCAGGAGGCAGGGATGGCCTTGTAAGCTACGGGTGGCATTTGTAGGGTTCAACACACGGAGGAAAGACGTTGAAGACATTTATGTAGGGGAGAGACCTGATCTGATAAATTTTTGAAAAGATCATGGTGGAGAATAGATTGGAAGGAAGTGTGGGGGGCAGATAAGGGGACTGGTTGGGAGGCTACATATTTGCCCAGGTGAGAGATAACAGAGATAAGGGAAATGAAGTGCTTGGGGTTTATTTAGTCTTAGGACTAACAGAATTTGCAGTTGGAGAGAAGGAGGCAGGGAAAGGGAAGAATGACCCCCAGGGTCTCTGCTTTCGGGCATTTTGAGTGATGGCAGTGCTAAGCTAGGGAAGACCAGGGCAGACCAGGTTCAGGAGGAAAAACAAGAGTTCCCGTGAGACATGCTACGTTTGAAAAGCCTAAGAGTCAAAAACGTGATGACGTCACATAGGTAGCAGGATTTATAAGTCTGGAAGCTTGGACGAGTGGTCTAAGCCAGAGATGGAGGTTGTGCATTTCTTGGCATAGAGATGGTGTTTAAAACCCCAGGGGTGGTGAGTCCACCCAGGGAATGAGTGTGGGTGGAGAGGGGGCCAGGGTGAGGCTGGTGAGCCCCCAAAACCTGGGGTGAGGTGGCGGGAAGAGATGGGCAAATGAGGCTGGGAAAAAAGAAGGAGCAGCAGGGATTGTGATGGATGTGATGCCAAGACAGGAGAGCAAGTCAAGAGGAGGAACAAGGTGGGGCTGTGAATGGGAGGTGTCACACACCGAGGCCATTGGGTTGGGTGGTAGGGAGGCCCTGAGGAGTGATGAAAAACTCAGCTTCAGTGCAGCAGTGGGCACACAAGGCAGGTGACTGGGTCAATGAGTGGGTGATAAAGGGAAGAGCTTGTGTAGGCAACTCTTGAGAAGTATCAGTTCTTATTGCCCCTGTTCAACATCTGCAGAAGCATAGCCTGTTGGGGCTTGGCGACCTGTCCAAAGTCACCCTGGAACTCACCTACAGGGCTGGGCTTTGAACCCACCTGTGTCTGACTGTGAAACCCATACCATCAGCCTCTGTACTACACAAGTGTTTAAGTTATCATTTGAATGAATTATTAATTTTCTAATTAGTTCCGTGTCTCCCATTCTCTCTTACTTGGTTGCTTTCACAGAATGGTCCCTGATTAACATCCAAATAAAGTAAACACAGGAGAAAGCCAGGATTAAAAATGAAATGATGATAGATTAAATCAAGGGAACTCGAGTATAAAGTTTATAAATATATTCATTGATTGTCTCCAACTACCCTAAAGCACATGCTAGGATCTTCTGAAATGAAAAATGTTTGATCCTTTTTTTTTTTTTTCATTAAATTTGGGCCTCAGGCAATACCTGTGGAAATGCTTTGAAAAAAAAATAAAAAGCAAAAAAAAAAACCCCTGTACTCCCCCCTCTGCATTTCCCAGTTTCTCTCTTCCCCATCTTGTCACCCCTGGGAGGCTGCTGCTCTTTTGGGACTCGGATGGCTCTTGCAGGGTCAGGGGCTTTTCCTCTAAATCCTAATTTCAAGTTTTTGGACAGAGACATAGAGAAGGAGATAAATCTTTTCTTTCTGACTGATATCCGACAAAGCAAAAGTTACATTTTAGCCACGTGTCAAAAGTAACATGCCACTAGTTCATATTTTTCTCAGGCTTCGGACACAGACACATTCATATTCAATTCATATTCACATCCAACTTCAATGTCTGATACTCTGACACCAAGTGGGTCCCCTGCTTGGCACCTCTTACCTTGCCGACGTACAGAGGGTCGGTCCCAGTGTACTCTTCCAGAACGAAAAACTGGTTCCACACCCAGCTCCTCTTGGTCCGTTGATGTGACTGTGGCTTGTGTGACAGGAGGGCTTCTAATTCGCCTGGCGGTGTTGGGGTGCTCGAGAGAACGGAGGTCGTTAGGTCCATCAGTCCCCAGAAGTACAAGGACATGCCAAGTCCAAGCCAGCTCTTTGCATTGCTCATTCTACCAGAAGTCCACATGGGATTGCCAGGGTTTCAGAAAGTCGAGGATGATAAGCTACCGAAACTTGAGTATTTTCCAAATAATAATAACAATAATAATAAAAAACACAGTTTGTTGGACACTTATGCTTCCCAAATGAGATCCTGGTTCAAGTCAATCTGCTTGAAGTTGACTTCCTGTCAAGTTAAGGAAAACACAGTGTGATGATGTCAAATTCTTCCCTGCAGGCTGGTTGCAAGTTTTCAAGAAATGTCAGTAAATATTCAGTTTTCTACTCAATGAATTAAAGAATTTGTCATAACAGGTTATTGCTTTAGAAATGTTTGAGCAATAAATAATGTTTTGATAAAAAGAAGACAACATATCTTGCTATAATCAATCCCAAACCTTTGGATATGGATTCAGTGGGAATAAAATTGCTGAATAAATTTCTTCTCAATGGTAACTTAGCTGGAGGGTTATGCTGTATTATTGATTGGCTTGAATTAATAGTGTGCTCTTTGAAATATTTATGATCAGACAGCCTCCTAAATGCTTAAAAATAGCATTCATTTCCAAAATTTACAGCTAATAACTAATATTTCCATTAGCCCAACTGCTTTTCTTAGCTTATTAAAAAAAAGTAGCAAAATCAAACTTTTTTTTTTTTTTGCCATCCACAATTATCTTGTGCCTATTCTTGTTATTGATAATGCTAGAAACCTTGGACTTCATTTATAAGCAGCCATGGATCACTTCTGATTTTAATCATTCTCTGAGCTGATGGTGGAATTCAAGTTTCACACTCTACTGCTTTGGCTCTGAAGCACTGATAGGGGCTGCTAATGTGACCTTTCTAGGATGTGAATGGTCAGTTAATCATTATATCCTTCACAAGAGACTTTAAAGTGCTATTAGTCACATGACACTGTGAGCAAGCCAAGAGAGTCTGGCCAACACATTTCCTTTCTTGACCTGAAAGAGTCATTTAGGCAAAGGGATATTAACTTCTGCCCTGGGATACATTTTCATCAGTCAAATTCCTTTTGTTGCTATGAAGTCAGATTTAGCTGGTGACCTCACACATTGGCTGTGGCCTCATCAACCTTTTCTTCCCTTACATGGCTTGGTTTAATGAGATGGCATAATACTCAAGTCACTCTGTCAAAACAACCAAATTGTCTTTTGTGGGCTTAATATTATGTTTTCACTGTTAATTTGAAGAACTACTGTCATCTTCTTAGAACAAATGTGTGTATTTGGAGAGTGCAGATCCGTGCAACCAAATAATGCTTCATTTATACAGGTGGTTTACAGTGAATGCATTGATGCTAACTCAGTTACCACTCCCACCTGTCAGTATCAGAACTGGTTTGGGCTTCCTCTCAAATACTGACTATTGAAACGTATGAAAGAATTTTTTTTAAAAAATCTTATAATCATTTCATACAATATGTTATTTCATTTCTGTATAGGAAATCACTTCAATGAGAACGTATAAAAAGGAAAAAGGGAGACGATTGAACTTTTTAGAATGGGAAGCTATGCTTCTTGCAAGCTCCAGCTCTAAAGGCAGATTGGTTGTTAAGAAGAGGTAAGCCAGCTGCACCTCACCGAGGGTGATGTGTTTGCTAATAAAGAACAGTGGTGCTGAAACACCTACTGAAAGGTGAGTTACCAAATATTAGCTGTTCCCTCTCTCTTTGGACCAGTGGACAGAAACCTTGCTCATGTTGTGTAAGGAGGAATGTTCTGGAAGAAGGAATCTTAACCCAGGAGATGAGTTGACGAAAAAGATCGATGAGAAATGGCTGTGCTGCTTTAGGACCTAGAAAGTGGACTAAAGGGCAGTGCCCAACAAAGCTACTGCCAGAAGACTATGATTGGGAAACCGCAAAGGGAATACCCCATATATTGTAGGATACAAACATATCTATAATTTCTCAAAGAGCACTAGACTAAGAGACAGTTTGGTTCCTGGTTCCATCTTCATTACCTCTGACTTGTCCTATGCGTGTTAGTTTCCTCGACAATAATTCTCCCACCTACCTCATTGGGCTATGATGAGAATCTGATGGGATAACGCAGATAAAAGTGGTCCGTAAATGACCAAGTTACCAACGGACATTGGAACAATCACATAAATTACCTGCTTCATGTGTAAAAATGATGGAGCTGAGGCTGGAGCATATATTTATTTCATGGGCACCTTTGGGACCAAATTCTGGAAGGGCTTATAATGTACATTATTTCTCAGATCTCACATTTGCAATAAGTACTGTTTGGTAGCAGATTCTGGCTAAGCCTACTTCTCTAATAATCAAACACTGTTTTTCCATCGAAGGAAATTTAATGAAGGACTAGCTATTCGATAACTCAACAGCAGAGAAAATTCTTTCATGAATTGCACTTATCAAAGATAGAACTCAATATATACATATACATTCTATTTAATGTATTTCCTTTAATGTCTGTGTTTCATGTATGTACATTTTGCCTAAGCACACATATTGATTATTTTCTCTGGCTAGTTTTAGCAGCTTGGAGCTAAGGGTGTGTGTGCATGTGTGTGTGAGGTGTGCAGATGACCCCCATCCTGCTTCCACTGGCTAAATTTTATGGACAGAATGAAATTTGAGGAAATTTTGAGGGATCTTAAGTAGTGCCCTTTATGTTCTCCCATGTCTTGCAAAGCAGAAATGCATTCTCGCCAATTCAAACCCCTTATTTTTACATGTAGGCATGATCTGAGGAGCTCAAGGGAAAAAAGCATTCATTGGAAGCTTTGTGATGAATATTTTGTAGGTGGTTCTGTTGCTTCTGCTTCTATCTCCCTCTCTTGCCCACTTTGGCCTCCTACACACTAGTGCAAAGTTCTCATTTTCTTCGCTTTCACTGCACATGTACGAAAGTGGTGTTGGGGTGTTGAGGTCCTGTGGAGCCCTTGGTGATCCTGTAAAAGCTGATAGTGCCCTCTCAGATTCTTCTTCACAAACCCTAAGTAACAAAGATGGCAGGGCCTGCAAACTCGCTAAGATTGTCGTAAATAACTTGATAGTGACAGTTGATGGAAAGCATTTTATTTCTGCTTCCTTAGGGCAGAATGCATGAAAAACACTCTCTGCCTGGCTTTTTAGAAGGTAAAAGCTGGGTTATACAATAGTAGGATTATTCTTTACACAAATTAGAGCTGTTTTTATACAAAACAGTTCTATAGAAAATACTAACCAGTTTGCAATTATTATAAATAATATGGTTCTCATATTCATGTTTTTTCCCTACAGGATATGAATAGCAATAAATGCGTTTGGGGATGGGCTAATCTAATTGCTGTTGTTCTTATAAAAGAAGATACAGATATATATGTGTATTCGTATATATAGATCTGCTTTGGAAGACTACATATGCCACGTGAAGAATACATTAGTGGAAATTGACTTCTGTGTTAAATGAGTCTTTTAAAAGTTTCCTCCCCCCATCCTCCCTATAGAAAGCAAACAGCTTGGTAATGAACACAGTAGGAAGAAATTAAAGTTGTACATAAAGTGTGCTCTCAGTGAATTGTTTATTTTGTTACTTAAATTCATTGTGATATTTAAAATGTAGGGGGGAGGGATGGTTACTGCTTTCTCCTTGCAATGAACTGGGCTTTTATGGTATTCCTGATTTCTTTCCTCGTCATTCCAGTTTTCCTGAACTTTTCATGGTTAATGGAAGTGCTACTCAGCAAAGCTCATGTGATCTCTCTGTAGAAGCGCTCAGTCAGTTCCGCTAGTGACTCCCCATATGAAGAGGGGGTATTTTAAGGTTCTGATGTGGCCAAATGCCTTTATAGAGGTAAATGTAGACAGTAGTGTTATGGTTTTAAACAGCTAAATTTCTTAAGCTATCACTTTTACTTATAATAAGTGCCTCAAAAATGCACTTAAAAGAAAAAAGAAAAGAGAGACGTTATGGAGATCTTAGATATTACAATGAAACATGACAGTGCACCATAAGGTACATCAACATTAAATCAGAATTCAACTCAATGTCATAACGTTATTCAACCTCCCAATCAAGGCTCTCTCTTGGGAAATGTAAACAAACCCATTTTACTTAGGAGTGAAAATCATCTGGTATACAGCACAGAACCCCCAGGGAATGAATAGCACAGGTGGTCATGGGTGTAAGTTAGAGTGAAAAGTTCATGTGATGATCATATATTTGAATATGCACAGTTCACAGATAACAATATTCCCATTGTGGAATTCCATAAAGAAAACATTTTCAGTGTCTCTGCAAATAATCTTTCAACATTTCTGGATCTGCTTGCATTACGTCTGCGCTATTCACCAAAATCCATCACTGGGGATTTGTTTTGGAAAGGATGTATACGGAATGGTTTTGTGTACTGAAAGCTGAGATGGATCTCTGACTGGAAGTCATTTTCATTTACTTTGAAGGTTCCACACATCTCAGTTTCCTACTGGGCAGTCATTAGGTGATTGGCAGTTCCATTGCTCTTCTGTGGCCATCAACACGTCAGCCTACTCAAAGCCACCCATCTGTGGAGGCAACCACCTCTTGACAGAGCCAGAAGAGGTAGTCCAGGTACTGGATTGCCTGGATTTTGAGTTGCTCTCTCACTTCCATTCCCTTCCTCAAGCCTCACCTCACTCACAACACACACCCCACCCATCCGTCCCCAGCAACTTAACATTTATGAAATGGGATGTGTCTTAATATCAGGGTGTACTTATTTCTTGTGCTTTCCTCACCCCTCAAGCTATTAATAAATTGATGGTGTGTGTAGAATTGAGGAATTACAATACTATCATTACTATTATTTTTAATTTGAACAGAGGAAGAAAAACAAAGAATACTTAATTTCCACAGAGATTTCTTAGAAAAGGTGGTCATCACTCTTGCTTTTTCTAAGTTTGGTTATTTATTTTTCTACGAATTTCTTCTACACCAAGTTCTTCAAGAACTGTGGAAATCCTGAGCCTAAATATTCAGCTCTTAGTAGTGTTCACTCAAGCTGTTGTCAGTTCTCTGAAATCTTCCCTTCCCACCACTCCTTCTTGCTCTCCCTTTCCTTCCCACAACCAAACTGGTCTCTTCGAGGGAGTGCAGTATTATAAATGGGACTGCAGAGTTCATAAATGGAACTGTGGGGTGGATGTGGGTGAGGGGAAGGTGTAGGGAGGCTCAG